TCGTGTATCATACTATTTAAACATATATTATATTCTTTCAAAGGATAAAGAAATAATATCAAAGAACAAAAATCTTTTATATTTCCTATTACATATCTCTGGATTTTCAGACTCATTATAATCCCTAAGTAACCATAAATTACAGAAATCAACTTTTCACTTATATGTAAGTATAATGTATTATCTATAACAGTAGAATTAATCTATTACTCAAGTTTCAAATAAATATTAACATCTCTCATATCATATTATTTGGGGCCTTTCTCTGCCAATTTTAATTCTTAGAAATGAGACTGACGTGTTTCAGCATTGCTCAAGTACCTCAGGTGATTCTTATTAATCAAGTTTAAAAACTGGAAGATAGTAAACAAATTCTAGTAACAGATATTGGTAAGGCATATAAAAGTTTACAGTAATACTAACAAATCAGATATCAACGGCCAGAAAAAAAATCCAGTAATTAGACATAGCATTTCTGGGGAAAATACCAAAATAATGAAAAAATACAGTTGATACGAGGCCCTAAAGTTTTTGGTGCTAGGATATGGCAGTGAACAAAATGAAAGTTCCTGCCCGAATGGAATTTACATTCTAGTGAGAATGCACTCAGTGACAAATGGAAAAATAATAATAAAGATGTAGTGATAAGTGAGCTAGAAGAAAAAAACAAAGTAAGGAATATAAAATGACAAGGGTGTGAATATTTCTAAGCACTTCCAGTTTGGTGCCGCCCTATTTAAATCAATTTTTACTCAAACTGTTAAAAGTTAATTCACCTCAACTTATCTTTTAACAGTTCTGGGGTCAGAAGAGGAAACCAAAGGTGACCTCCCCTCATCACCCCAGGAACAATTAGCAACCAAGTAAATGTACCTGCTGGGTCACCTTGAGGTCGCTGTCATTTGAAGTGTTGACAGGTAAGTCCCTCTTGAATCCAAGACTCTAGCTTTGCGTTTTTGCATCATGAGCTTTCAGACTTCATCTGAACATTTCTTTTTTCCCCACTGGATCCGGAAACTGGCTAGAGGCAGACTGAGTCTGACTTAAGCTGAACTGGGGCTTATGTGAGAGGCCCCAGGTGAAACAAATCTGTTTTAAAGCTAAACAAGCAGGTTCATTCTATCAAAGATAATCTTTAATTACAGTGGCCATGGTAGAGATCTTTTAACCTAGAACTTTAACCTAGAACTGTTAAATAAGTAGGCTGTTAGACTGAGGTGACTCCACTGCCATGGCTGCCTACATAAGCAAACCAAAATCTGAATCCATAAATACTTCAAGGTTACACCTATGCACTAAGGACAAGCAATCACAAACAGCCACCTAGGCTTTAAGGTACTGGCAACCCATTTCCTTGCTTTGCTTCAGCCTTGTCTCTGTATTTCTTCCCTGAGCTCCTGTTGGTGGTGCACGCCTAATCACTCTGATTTAGTGTTACCTAATTCAAATAGACTTTTGCCCAAATAAATAAATTTTAAAAAAGGGACAAGGTACTAATTTGGAGACCTGAGGAGTTACAAGCATTCTTATAGAAGGAACAAAATATAAAGATCCAGAAGCAGTCTTCTAAGTGTATTCTAAGAAGAGAAATGGAAGTAGCATGAAAGGACAGAAATTGCTAGGAGTAAAGTGCCATAGATGAGAGTGCTGAAATGTGAACACATTCATTTACTGAATATTATGGAACAATGAAAAAAATTTTAAAGGTCATTGGTGGGGAAGGGTTGAATCTGGTTTTACATGTTTTAGGATTAGATACTTATTAGATATCTAAATGGAGATGAATTCAGGGGACTGGTTGAAGCTGAAAATACTCCACAGGCATGGAAAGAGAAAAAAAATACTAAAACCACTGAGACAGAAGAAAGAAATTAAAAGCCGCATGATAGCAATACCACAGAACTTCCAGAAATTAAAAATAGGTTGAGACAAAATCTGTACAAGAAAGTAAAACCACACCTAGACTCACATACAGCTACTACAGAACATGAGACAAAGATGTGAAGAGAAAAAAAACAAGTACAATAACAGTTCAATTCCACAGCTCATTCTACACATGTGAAACCTAACAGCAATAACCTACAACAACGAAATTACAATGCAACCCACATTTCTCAGATAAAACATGTTATATCAATAATGCAACCAATATCCTTTGCTCATTTAATAGAATCACTATGAGCTGGGTTTTTTTTGTTTGTTTGAGATACTTACACCTCTTTAATATACAGTGGGACGTGAAATTAAAAGAATCTCATTCATCTGGGAGTTTGAACCATCAATCCTGTTTCAAATAAAGGTTTGCGTGTTTGTTTCTTTTTTAAACTAAAGGACAAGGTGATAGTCTTTTAGGATAGAAAGTATGGTACATGAAGCTTCACTGGACAATTTATATAGATACCTGGGAACGTCTGGAAAGTTATTTTTTTAATCCTACTATACCAGGTGATCACATCTTTCACTCTCTAACATAGCTACTATTTCTTAGCCCCGAATCTTTATAAAGAATCCAAAGATTTTTCTGTAATAAAATCAAGCAAATTAGATTCTAAATAAATTGCATAAACCACTTTACAAAGCCACTATAATTATTGTCTAAAAACATTCCAAATGAGTTTTAAGTATTTAAAATATGATGCCTTAAGAATTTTAATATAATTTTGACATTTTCTCTCAAGATGTTTTTGCTGTTGTATTACTGACTAGTTAGCCTCCACTTAAGCATTCAATAGGTTTGTATTTTTTAATTGAGTTTTGAATGTAAGTAACCTGTTTGATACAGGTATCTATATTATTATGCTTAAATATGCAACCAATATCCTTTGCTCATTTAATAGAATCACTATGAGCTGGGTTTTTTTTTTGTTTGTTTGAGATACTTACACCTCTTTAATATACAGTGGGACGTGAAATTCAGAAATACTTTAAATCATATTTTGCATTATTTAACTACTCAAAGTTTCAACAATTAAGCCACACTGCCAGTTCATTTAAGTTTCAGATGAAATCTAAAAAAGTCACAAAAAATTAGTTGCTTTTTCCCTCTCCTCCACAAAAGTGTCAGTTATAAAGCTACAATATTTATGGACCAAAGATCATTTTCTAGTCAGAAGCAGTCATGGTGCAGAGAAAAATTATGTCATTTATCTCTAGTACATATTCTTGATAAATCTTAAGAAAATGAAATGTATAAATCAGTATACAATCTACACAATGTTTTCATTAGTAACTACAAAAATACAAAAGAAAAATTACATGTAACCTACTATATTGTATAAAACTGTAAAGGTTTTAATTTTAATAAGTCACTCACTCTGAAATTAATGAACAAAACATTCACACTCCAATTTTCCACAGCTTTACAGTCTGAATATTACTTTCTAACATTCCCTAAGCAAAAGTATTTTCTTTATAAGCAAACAGGCCACTGCTTTTAGTAAGAATCATTTATTGTATATTATGAAAGTGGTGGGTTAATTGGTACAGTACTATGCATAATCTCTCATCCTTGAAAAATTAAACACAAGTGGATAAAAATGCAAAGCAGAATGAGCATGTCAAAGACAAAATTTAGGCATATTTTATAATGTTCCCTGTTATATCTATGTACTAATGTTCCTCTTCATTGTGTTTTAATAAATTTATGGCTTATTTTTTTCAATGTAATTGCTGACTTCTTACAAGTAATGAACATATTTTCCATCAATTAACGTTACATACAGTTTTAGATTTCATTCAACTCCACTAACAGTTGACTGAAATACTCAACTAAATGTAGAATTGTTAAGAAAATTAGAGTCCATTCCACTGTCTCAAAAAAATTTAATACTGTTCTTTTACGAAATCTGCACAATAAGATATAATGCAAATGTCTTAGCTACAAAGTGATAAATTAAAAATGCCAACCCTGATTTAATAAAAAGCATTTATTTTTATTCAGTGCTATCTTATGAAATAAAATCATTTATAGTAAATGTAGTAAAAAGTAAAAAGGTTACAAAATGTGTACTGGCACTAAATTGTTTTATCACTTTTATATTTAATTATAAATATTTAAAAATTGAATTTATTCCTCATGTTATCTGATATACCAAGAACAAACTGATCATTATTCTTCAGGGTAACTATCTAAAACAGAAATCATTGCTTTAAAAAAAAAAAAAGGAAGAAAGCTCTGTTTTGTATCCATAGTGTAAATTTTAGACCCAATTGGATAAAAAAATATTAAAAAGTACATCTATGAACAAAGTTCTATAGTTTGCTCCCACAGCTAAATCAATAGGGGCACATTTAAAAATATTATTGGAATATATCAATACATTTGTCAAAGTTAAGATTCAAATTTGTTACATCACAGCACACATCCAAGAATGAATGTATGCTACATGAGTCAAAAATTCTCACTGAATATGACAAAATAAAAATCTGTGAATAAATATAAGGCATTCTAAAATATCAGCAGAAAACCAGAGTCTAACAAAAATTTCAATGATCTAAATTTTACTCTATAGATTCATATAGTCTTCAAAATAGATTTAGTTGTAGTGCTACACATTAATTATATTCAACTGCTTATCAAAATATCCTTTTTTTTCTGGTAACTAAATGTTACTACTTAAAAAAAAAGTTAAGTGCTTGAGGGAATAAAAATGCAGCAGAAAATTACAGGAGCCCACATATCCTTTTTCTTAAATTTAATTTGTCATATATAAGGTTTTTATATACAATCAGTGTGCATTGTAACAGTTTATATTAAAAGTCAATCAAATTTACCTAAAATGTTACCTGGCTGCATAGCACATTTGACATTATTGCCCACATAAAACGGGAAAACAAATGGATTTACAATAACTTTTGGCCGTTTTGGATTCTCAAAGTGTTCATACACCTACCCTTTTAAACCAAATGCATCTGAAAATAATGTTTCCAGAGCACGCAGTTTAGATCTTACATTATTATCTCAGTATTTTCTTACTACAAACACAATATTGACCAAAAAATAAAAAGGAAAAAAAATAACATGTATTTAATAAAATAGTCAATATAAAATGAGGACTAATGGAATTAGGTGGCCCCTTTCCCCATTTTTTACATTCTAAACAATGATTCCATCAAGACAAATCATTAAAAAGTGTTATTACACTGATTTTTTTAAACAATAAGAAGGCCTGAGTTGGTAGGGAAAGGAACAGTCAAAAAAAGCCTGAGAAAGGGAAGGAAGGAAAGCTCATTTAATCTATTTACAATAATTTACAGTCATTTTTTTGTGTATGTAAAAAGGCATAATAATAGATCACAAACAGGAAGTTCCTGGCTATTTTACAGATATAAGTACAGAATTTAAATATTCAAGCTTGTGATGAAAAGCGGCAAGGTGGTCGCAGTGTACAATGTAAACAAGTAGCTTTGGAAAGTGAACAAAATCCTTGAGTGTTTTTTCTTTATTAAGAAAAGAACTCTCTTTCATTCCTTCCTGAAACATGATCACAGGTCAGAGTAAAGTTCATATACAAACATAATTTAAATGGAGGTCAGTCTAAAACCACTGACTTAAAAACAGTTTTATCCAGCCTATATGGAAGGGCAGTGTTGAGGTCCCTGTAATAGTAAACATTTTCAATTTCTTTAAAAAAGAAAAAAAAATGTACTACAATATTTGTAGTACAGTGCAGCATAATCCTTAAATATAAAAATATTTTCTCTTCTGTTGGGATAATAGACCTTGCATCCTGGAAAGAAGTAACAATACTGCTACTGATAGAAGATCTGTTTATATCTTTCAAGTCATGTAAGGCAATTACTGTGTTGGTTTATGATATATGGCTAAAAGAAAAGTCCAGAAAGACAACACATCAGTTTTTGTTATGTTTTCCGATTACTCCAGGTATGCTCAGGTGTACTTTTGTGTTCAATTGAGTGTTCAAATGGAGATCTGGAGCCATAAGGAGACCTCTGATCTAGTGGTGATCTAGGCCCACTACTGGAAGCTCTGTGGTCCATTTGCCAATCTGAGTGATACCTATAATCCCTGGAAGATTTATGATGTGTATATTCAGAGCTTGACCGATGATCTGAATGAGAGCGATGATCTGAATGAGAGCGATGATCTGAATGAGATCTATCTTTTAAACTTCCTTCCAAATTTGACCTGTGATCTCTATTCCTGTGATCATCCAATTTTCTGTGTTTCTCTCTATCACTGTAGTATCTAACAAAAGAGAAATTAGGAATTTTAAATTAATAATGCAAATCAAATGTCTCCAAATAAATCTTATTAAAAATAAAACAAAAATACTTTAAAGCATACTTTTAATTGTATACAAGGTCAGTGTTTCATTATAGACCTTTATAAGTAAGCTTAAAAATCACTAGAAATACCTCTGTATGCCTTTGATTCATAAAACAGCAGTGAACTATATAGACCACCTCAACAGCATCTAATTTTACATGCTCATTTTAGATTAGTTGCTACTTTTTATTTTATGCACCTTTTGTATTATTGCATCCTAATTATCTAGAAGCTGGAATTAAGATAACTTACAACTATCTAGAATACACTCGAAATCAGAGCCGCCTTATGAGTCACTAGCAGGACAAACTAACTTTCTAAAAGGCCGTCTATGAAATAACTTGTAAAAGACAATTTTCATTGGTTTAATGACACCTTTCAAAAGCTTTCTTTAGGTTTGATTAATTACACATGTGTCATTATTGCAATGTTCCTAAATGGAGCAGTTTGCTAAAACATAACTACAGCAGTTTAAGGAAAAGTCATCTTTAAAATGTTTCCCCTTTTCAAATAAAGTACATTGAAATATCTACTACTACAAATACAGTTTTTTTCTTTTCATTTTGTGCCCTCCTCTAATTTTAAGAGCCATTCCACATTTGATATATTTATGACAGTGCTTCTCATAGAGAAAAAATTGCAGTGAGCACAATTAAAATAAAAATATTTCAATTTCTTTATTTCTCATCTTTACTGTTATTCATTTGTATTTTGCTTGTGGTGATGATCATTAACTAGTGAAAATATTCCTTTAACAATAAAGGAATAGTGTTATACTGAATCAGATTGTTTACTGTTTAAAAGCTTAAAAAAACAACAAAAGCCAAAACGATAAACAAACAAAACATCCTGATTTCAGGACCATCCCAGATGCTGTGATTAAATTTAACTGCAATAAGATGTCTTCACATAAATTTCTGCCCCCTCCCTTTTTTATTTTAATGGAATGGAATAAAGAATTTCCTCCTTCAAATTTCATCCACATTCCTATTTTATTCTGAAGTTTTTGAGCTAATCTTCTCCAAAACCAACAATGAATCCCATGACATAGTTACAGAACTCCCTACACTTTCATCTCTTTGACCTTAAATTTATAATTAAAAAAAGTTCTTAATACAAATAAAAATGTACTAGAATTCATTTTTTTATTTATAAAGAAACACCTTATTCTCACATGAGGCTTCCTTGATTACTTCGAGTTTGAAGAGACCAATATGGTCAAATATGGTAAATAAAATAAAAAAGGAAGACATGAATAAGCAAAATTTAAAAACCGATTGTTAAATTTACCTGCTGTCTTGCTTGTAGTGATCCCAGTCACGATGATCTTTGCCATTACTAAAAGAGGAATAGGGTCTTTTCCTGGAGTCACTCTTTTTGTAAGAATCTCCCTGATGTCGGTCTTTATGATGATCATGATACTGAGATAAGTGTCTGTCAGAAGAATAACTGTCCCTGCTGCTATCATCATGATTTGTATTCTCTTTTAATCTTTCCACTTCTGTTAGATTAAAAAAAAAAATCCAACTTTTGTTTATGATTTTCAAAAACTACATGGTAAAAAAAAGTAACTTTGCAGCTAGATTACAAGAACTCCTTTTTTAACTCCATCTAAAGAAAATCCTTTCCCAAATACAGGCAGTTAAAGCAAATGTAGGTAGTTAGAAATAGTCTGTTAATGCAGTACTGAGACTTAGAAAAGGGTCACTTTATTCTGAAATGTGAAAAATCACAATTGAAATATATAAAGCCTATTTCCTTCTCAGACAGACAATTTCTGTCTAATTTTTGTGACTCTTATACAGAAAAAAACACATTATTGCATTCTAAATTTATTTTTTAATTTATTAACAATTTATCATTTCAACATTTATTTTGTAATTTTTAGAAACCAGTGAAAACTGATTTATGAAAGGGTTAATAATAAGAAAAAAGTTATTATTTAAGATAATAAACTCATTATGTGCTATTATCTAAAACAAACCCCCAAAAGGAAAACAATGTTTTAATTTACGTTCCAAAACAATAATAAGGTTGACTTACCTGGATTTCTAATCACTTGAGCATTCAAGTTGCTGTTCTGGTCGTTATTTTGCTAAAATAAATGCACATATGTAAGAATCTTGCAAATGGTGTCAAAACCATTACAAAACAGGAAGAAAAATCCTAAAAAAAATCTCAAGGCTGAAAGAAGTCCTTACATAAGATATTAGAATGTATAAATGCAGCATTTGCAGATATCTTTTTTAAAATCTAAAGTATTTGTCTCATGACTTATTAAAATAAATTTTAGATTTAACAGAAAAGCTGCAAAATAATACCAAAGTTACCATATGCCTTTTTTCCAGTTTCTCCTAATGTTAGTATATTATATAACCATGGCGTAATGATCAAAACTAGTAAGCAGTTAACATTGGGACAACACTATTAAGATTTCACATATGTCCACTAAGATTATTTTTCTGCTCCAGGATCCAATCTGGAACTCCATTTAACACAGTTTTCATGTCTAACTTCCTTCAATGTGGGACAGCTCCTCAGTTTTTTCTTGTCTTCCATTATCTCAAGATTTCTGAAGAGTACTAGACAGTTATTGAGAGGTACAAGAATACCTCTCAATTGTTTGTCTGACATTTTCTTGTGATTAGATTGAGATTATGTAACCCACACAACTGATGTACCTTTTCTCAGGATATCCTATCAGGTGGCTCACGAAGTCAGTATTACACTGGTGATGTTAACCTCGATTGCTTATTTACAGTGGTGTAGGGGAGGTTCCTTCTCTAAGTTATTGTTTTTCTATGAAATTAATAAGCATCTTGAAGGAGATAACTTTTAGACTGCTAATATCTTGTTTCTTGTTCACTAATTCTTCTACATTTACTCATTCAATTCTTTTTTAAGAAAAAATGTCTGTTTTAGTAACATAAATAAGAAAAAGATGTTAATTTACCTGAGATTCCTGCCGTTTTTTAATAGCGTGCTTATATAGTTTATGCAATTTTCTTGCATCAAACTCAGTAAACTTAGATACGAAAATCCACAGGTTTCTAAAAGAAGAAAAGACAAATTGATCTGGTGGGAAATATCTGCTTTTTCATAATCCCCTCTACAGAAACAAAAATATACACATACTTCACCCTCTACAGAATAAAGTCTAAGAAGACGATTTCTAGTATTTTTTTTAAACTTCATATATGGTATAACTGTAAATGAAACTAAACATTAGGTTTTACTTCTTTTCCCAGTCCCTTCATTTTTATACTTTTTCCAGTGAAAAGTAGTAATCAATTCTAATTTGAAACCAGAGATGTAAATTTACAAATCAGGAAGGAACTCAGAACATGATTCAGATTAGTTATAAAAGGAACAAATTACGTTAGTAGTCGGAGTAAATATAACATTAGTAATATAAGCTTGTAAAGAAAAAAAGGGGTCCTAAATAATACATTAAGAAACAATGTCATTTTCTAATTTTGATGTAATGGTCATGAGAATAACATGAATGGACACTGTGAACCATGGACAGCACGGAATTTTTAGGCCTCTCTTCCCACTCCAAGGCAAGAATTAGTAACTGATCATAGTACTCTATCATGATAAATTCAGATGCAGCCTATGAATGTTTCTCAACACAGCTTCATCAGTAAGGTGCCACTCATAATCAGTGATACCCGAGTTGATGTCTATCCGCTACCACTGAAATAGTAATGATCTCACATATTCACAATTTTTTCTTAAATGTTTTTCAGTAGGTATTTTTAAATGATTTCGAATCTTGCTTATATAAATAGGTAGAGAAATTACTAATTAGCCAATGATGGAGTTTGGCATATTACCCAATATAAACATCTTTAATGAGTCAATTAATTTTAAGAAATTAGAAAAGAAAAAACCTCTTTGTATGAATAATGACTACCCAGAAAAAAGCCATCCTCCGATGACAATGATGGAAGGAAGGTCTGAGAAAGCAAAAACCCTTATCTGGAAAATAACTTTACATTCTGTTTTATGGAAGAGATCATATAAAAGCACTTACTTTAGAGACTTCTAAATGGCCGACACAGATTTCAAATATTCAAGCACCTATTGCTTATGACTACAAAGTACACATTAAGTTATAAAGTCTGGAACAAGATACTATTGAAAATAGGTGCTTTATACAGTTTTTATATTTTTGAAGCTCTTTTCTATTATTTAATCCACAAATAACCTTTACGTAGGCATACTACATATGGCACCTATTTTTTAAAATGAACAAGCAAATGAAGTAATGAGGCTAAATGACTTACCTAAATTCATATAGCAGAGTAAAGCTAGAACACAGGGCTTCTAATTCACTTTCCACTAAGATAAGTAATTCCCAACCTTTTGATTTTGAACATCGACATGTAGGAATAGCTGCTGGCTAGTAAATGACTAAAAAATTGCTGGGTGTCAGTAAATTTTGGAATGTGTAAGCCTGTGAGTTATGTATTTACCACAAAATTATCTTAGCACATGTGCATACAAAGGTGAATAATTATTCTAGAAGAATTCATGTCAGTGTTCTTATGTCAGTTGTGGCTTTTTCAGTGTTTTCTTTGTTTCATTAATTATATTGATTACTGTTACTATAATAAACTTATTTTATGAAGCCTGTTTACTTCACTGCTGCATATAGTGATATTTATCCTTTATCAATATTTTCGTCTCTAATTTTACAAAAACAAGACTAAAATTACATTGCAAAATTAAAGAGCTGTCACCCATATGCTCATACTTAATGGACACATACATGCATAATACTCTCACAATTTGCTTCTATAATGATACTTCCTAGTCTGTGAAATTGGGGTATTGATATAAATTATAGCATATTAAGGCATAGAATCTATTATCAGGCTTTTTTAAACTAATGGGAAACTTTCACAATACATATGAAGAGATTATTTTCTTAATTTTTTCAACATCATGAAAATTTTCAAACACACATCGAAGATAAAAGAATTTTACAATGGTCACCCATGTACCTACCACCTAGATTTTAGTATTAACATTTTAATATGCTGGCTTCATGACATATCACTTTATACATTCATCCCTCTGTCAATCCATTTAATTTTTGTTTGCATTTCAAAGAAAAATTCAGGTATTAGTATTTTTTCCCTCTAAGTACTTCAGCATACATATCAATAGTTGGTACCTGTTTACTTTGCTTTAAAGATAAAATATACATAAAATAAAATGTATAATTTTTAAGTTTACACTTGCTGAGTTTTGCTAATATAGTATACAGTCCCAAAACAAATCAAGAAAGTTCCGTTTTGCTTTTTCAAAGTCTAATAAGTTCTTTACCAATAGAGAGTTTTTAACAGACAACAGATAATAAATGTTCCAAAAAATTGAGAAGCACTCCCTAGACTCCACTACCCCATGTAATCCATTATCAGTGAAGTCAGGATAAATAAAACTAAGGGAGGGTGGGGACAAAAAGGTAAGTTGCCCAGCTGGGTAAAAAGCAGAATCAAACCTTTGGAGGTAAAGGCAAATATGAAGAAATAAATCTCCCAAGTACTTATCTCTCTTGTTTTAGAGGTTTTCTCTCCTCACTCCCCTTCTCCTAATCAGCTAAACCCAAAATAGCATTATATTTGTATTAGTCACAACATAATTTCACCAAGATGTTTATTTCTTATCTTTGTACCAAAGTAAAATAGATTTTCTATTTTTACAACTCAAAAAATATAAATTGTAAGTTCTAAAAAAGTGGTAGATAGTACACAATGAACTTCCAGGTAGAAACCAAGCTCTTTTAAACTAAAAACAGGAAAGACATTTAATATAATCCTTTAACTAAATTTAGCTTTAAAAATAATCCACTCCATTGCTTTATTTTCCTAATTTTATCAAACATAAGCAACAATCAAGACATGTTTGGGAGCCACTGACAGAAAATTTCACTTTGGATTCTGAATGTAAAGATTCTCATCGAAGCCTCATGTATATAAGGTCTGTCCAGAAGTTACCCAGTCATGTAATATGAAAAATAGAGGCATTTATTGAAGAAGATATGAGATATAAGAAACAGTGTACACAGGACAATGACACCTCAGTCTCCTTCAAAGTAGGCACCTTGGGACCTCACACAGTTCTTCCAGTCACCATCAGCTCCCGTGTCACGTTTTCCTGAATCTCACTGATGGTCTGAAATCTATTCCCTTTCAAAGATGATTTTACTTTTGGGAAAAGCCAGAAATCACAGGGCACCAAACCTGAGCTGCAGAGGGGCTGAGTAAGCTGGGTGGATTTGATGTTTTGCCAAAAAACTGTACAAGAATGACACATGAGCAATTGTGTTTTCATAATAAAGCTGCCAATCACCAAAAAATTGTACAAGAATGACACATGAGCAATTGTGTTTTCACAATAAAGCTGCCCATAGCTGCAGCCCTCTGAATCATGAAAATAGTTTTCATGGAGGAATGTTCAAGCTTAACATAGAATTTGATGTAGATCTGTTGCTCTTCACTCAGTCATTTTGAATGTGACATCCACAGAGTACACATGTTCACTCAATGGTACATACCACTTCCACTGACTAGTAGAGTGAAGGCATCACTATTCATACATGCATATTACAGTCCACTCTCCTTGTCTGCCAGGTTACATAGACGTCATGCAAACTGTTCTCATTATATTAACAATGGCTGGACTTTTTCTTTCTGGACAGACCTTGTATAATTGAACTTTATTCTTGTTCTCTGGCTTTAAGCTTTGGGAATCATCAAATGACTTGAAAGGACTTGAAAAGGATGAAATAACTGTTTTATGGCATTTAAGGAAAGCATTAAAATCTCTAGTCAGTATATATATTCTAACTAAAAACAAAAAACTAAGCCAGAATATATGAATGTGGTACTTTAGGATTATTCCCCCCCATTACTCATAATATATCTTATCATTATCATTTAGTAAGTAAAAAATACGTAGTGCCTTAAAATTTATAATGGGCTTCAAATACAGATGTTGTCATTTCACAGATGAAATGACAACATCTGTATTTGGGAGCTCAGAGATACTGGTAACTGTTCAAGGCCACAAAGCCCAAAATTAGCCAAGATGAACACTGAGCACATCTTCTGAGGCCAACTCTAGTGAATATTCAGTGGCATTATAGGCACATGACTTCAGGCTATTATTACTGTCCATACATGGTTTTAGTTTCTTTAGACATAATAGCATAGTTGTACTTGTTTTCAAAAGCCTAGTGACCATGACCAATTTCCTATCTCCTCTCTCTAAAAGGAGTCCTGGTTGAATTTAAGGAGAAAAGAAACAAGTACAGAATTCTTTTTAAACTTTAGATTAATCATAATCACTCCTCTAGAAATGTTACTATAGTTTTTGTTTTGATGTGTAGCTGCACGCATATACCAAAGAAATCAGTAGACTAATAAACTGATATCAGGGACTGGTTTGTGTTATTTTATTTTTTTCCCAAACTTGTATAATAGTTAAGTTTAATACTCATCTGGATCTGGTCATCATTAAGTGATTTGTATAGTATTATAGCAGTTTAGTTACAATTTTAATATCAACTGTATTGCTACTGCTTCTACAATAAAGGGGAAAATAAAATTGTGCACTTTACATTGCTTGAGGATATTAATTTTTACAAGGCTTCACACTCATACCCAAAAGATGAATTGCTAAGTATATGTAACAATAAAGTGTTTGGCACACTAATCTCTAAAGATATTACTAATTTGGTGAATTGTTGATTTAAGGATATAAAACAATATGAATTTTAATGAAACAGTGTTCATTATCTCTTATTTAAAGGCAGAGATACCAACTGTGATTATTATGATGCATAAGTAATCGCTTATGAATTAAAAAGCTTTAAAGAAAAAGTAATAAAATCAATCATCTATCTTCAAGTTACCTCTTTAAACATAACTGTTACTGAATTTCAAAAGTAGAAAAATAAACTGAAATATAAGAGAGAAATAGATGGCTACATAACCACAAATTGAAGTGTTTCTGAAAAGTACATCACTTACTTTCTCCACTGTTTGATTTGTTCAGGGTTTGTATACTCTTTCAGACATTCCGTGATATGGTCTCCAATTTTTATTAAACATTGTCTAGTATGCTCTAGTTGTTCTCTTTCTGAAAGGCCTTTCTCAGGCCTATCAAGTTGTTTCAAAGCTGCTTTGACAGGCCTCATTCTTTCTTTACACTGTAAAAGAGAAAAATAAGAACATAAATACATGTATCAAAAATATAAATTCAACAAAGATCTTTCAATGATCTTTACATGAGTAAATATAGCATTGTTTGATGTTAAAATAAACATTAAATCTCACCTCACACCTCTTAAAAATACCAGGGGTTTCCCTTTCAGATTCTCTTTGGAAAGTAGGTCTTTCATTAACATTTAAAATCAGTCTTTGTGTAAGTAAACACTTTGGATTTCACTTACCTTCTATAAAAATGGTACTTTTTACACTGTAAATACCATTGCAAGCAGTCTTAAACACAGAATATTAAAATATAATAAAATACATCAAAATACAACTTAATATCCTATATCCACTATTAACAGAATAAAATATTTTAAAAATAAGGAGCTAGCTATATAAAATAAACTGGCAAAGCTATTAAAATAAAAATAGCTACAAGTATAAATTGTCTGTCTTCTAATCCTTTGGGACCAATGATAAATTTTGTTACTATCATATTTTGATGGTTACTGAGTTGGGGGTGGTTGATAGAAACCAATCTTTTCCTTGGCCTACATATCACTGGCATCCTGACAAAAGGACAATATACTAAAAACTGTATGATTCAGCTGAACTCTAATTTCTGTAATAAAAACTAACCTATACCAAAGCCAAACTAAAAATATTACTAAAAAAAGAAGTTATGGATGCTTTACTTATATAAATATAATATAATAATATAATAATTATATAATAATTATATCCACTAGTAGCAAGTTGGGTTAATTCAATAAATGTAAGGATGAATTAACTACAAACAACATATTTAGTTGATCTAACACCATTTATTTAAGAAAAGAAAGCCTCGCATCACTGCTATTCAAGGCCCTTCTTATAAAAATTCAATGTGCATATATGTGTGGGTTTGTTTCTGAGTACTTTATTGTTTTATTGACCTATTTGTCCAAATCATGTTGGAAGTTTTCCATCTTTTATCAAGAATAATTTAAATAGCATTGGAATCTTATATTTCTTAGATAAAATTAGAACTCACAAGGCCTGATGCCTTTTTATAAAAAGGAAAAATCTTTAATATCTTTCTTAATTTTTAGCATTATTCATACCTGTTCTATACATTCCTTGTTTCTTGCTCAATGTTTGTAGTTTATAATCTACTAAAAATTATTTATTCAATATATGTAAATTCAGTGCACACTATGTTCTAGGCATTGTTCTAGACTCAGAAAAAAGAACAGTAAAAGAAGGAAGTAATCAGGATCAGAGCAGAAATAAATGACACAGAGACTAAAAAACAATTCAAAAGATCAATGAATCCAGGAACTGCTTTTGTGAAAAAATAAACAAAATTGACAAACCTTTAACCAGACTCATTAAGAAAAAAAGAGGACCCACGTAAATAAAATCTATTATTATTCACAGATGGCATGCTATTATACACAGAAAAACCTATAGGCTCCACCAAAAATCTACTATATCTAATAAATGATTCTGACAAAGTAGCGGGATACAAAGTCAATATTCGTAAATCAGTGGCATTTTTATACTTCCAAAATGATCAGAAAGAGAAACTAAGAAAGTAATCCCATTTACTACTGCAACAACAACAACAACAACAAAAAGCACCTAGGAGTAAATATAACTAAGGAGGTAAAAGACCTGAACTCTTATTATACCCATGTATGATGAGCATCCTTATTTTTCCCTCAAAGATTTAGACAAAAAAAGTGTGCAGTATACACAGCAAAACATGGTAACATCATTAAAATGACCATGCTGCCCAAAGCAATCTATAGATGAAATGCAATTCCTATTAAGTTACCAACAGCATATTTCACAGATCTAGAACAAATACTCCAAAAACTTATGTGGAGCAAAAAAAATGACCCAGAATAGCCTCAGCAATCTTGGGAAAGAAGAACAAAGTTGGAGGGATCACAATACCTGATATAAAACTATACTACAAGGCCACTGTAATCAAAACCGCCTGGTACTGGCATAATAACGGAAACACAGATCAATGGAACAGAACAGAGAGCCCAGAAATAAACCCATGTCTTTATCACCAATTAATATTTGATAAAGAAGGCAAGAACACACAATGAAGTAAAAGATAAGTCTTTAATAAATGGTGTTGGGAGAACTGGCCTGGCACATGCAAAAAAAATGAAACTAGACCACCAGAATTCATATACCAGAATAAACTCAAAATGGATAAAAGACTTGAATATAACTCATGATATACAAATCCTAGAGGAAAACACAGGTAGTAAAATTATGAATATCTCACATAGAAATATTTTACCCATAATTCTTCCAGGGCAAGGGAAATAAAGGAAAAAAATAAACAAATGGGACTACATCAAATTAACAAACTTCTGCACAGCTAAAAAAACCACCATCAAAATGGAAAGGGAATTGATTGCATGGGACAACATATTTGTTTACAATTTATTGGGCAAGAGTTTTCTATCTAAAACATGTAAAGAACTTATATGAATCAACACCAGGAAGACAAATAACCCAGTTAAAAAATGGGCAAAGGAATTGAATAGAAACTTCTTTAAGGAGGACATAAAGAGAGCCCATAGACATGTAAAAATGTTCAACATCACTAACCATCAGAGATGCGAATTAAAACCACAATGAGGTATCAACTCACACCTGTCAGAATGGCCATCATTAACAAATCAACAAACAATAGGTGCTGGTGAGGTTGTAGAGAAAAGTACACTGTTGGGAATGCAAACTGGTGCAGGCACTGTGGAAGATATTATAGAATTTCCTCAAAAGACTAAAAAAGGTACTGCCTTTTGACCCAGCAACTCCACTGCTGGGAATATAACCTATGTATCCTGAAGCACCAATTCAAAAAAAATTATACACCCCCATGTTCACAGCAGTGCTATTTACATAGCCAAGATTTGGGAACTGCCTAATTGCCCATCACTAGATGAGTCGATTAAAAAACTGGTACATATACACAGTGGAATACTACACAGCAGAAAGAAAGAATTCCTACTTTTTGTAACAGCATGGATGGAACTGGAGACTAATACGCTAAGTGAAATAAACCATTCAGTAAAAGACAAATATCATATAATCTCATTTATAAGAGGAATCTAATGACCAAAATAAACTAATGAGCAAAAGAGAACTAGAGGCATAGAATCAGGCAACAGACTGACAATTAGCAGTAAGAATGTTGGAGGGAGGTGGGGATGATTGAAGGTGAAGGTAGATTAGCCAAAGAATACATATGAAGGGACTGATTATGAAGTGGGGGACACTCTGGGTTGTGGGGCCAAAGGGGGGAAATGTGGACAACTATAACAGCATAAACAAATAAAAAAATTTTAAAGAGCAGTAAATAAAAGAGACCCTGCCTTCATGGAACCTGCACTCTAGTAGAAAAGCACCAATAAATAAATAGGACGTAATGTGTTAGATGATGACAACTATAATATATGACTATATATTTAACAATACTTATTAATAACTATAAATAATATATGAAGTACATAGTAACCACAAATCAAAAATTTACAGGAGATATACAGGACATAAAGAGAAAGGAATCTTCCCTGGCTGGTGTAGCTCAGTGGATTGAGCACGGCCTGCGAACCAAAGGTTGCCAGTTTGATTCCCAGTTAAGGCACAGGCCTGGGTTGCAGGCCAGGTCCCCAGTGGGGGCCATGTAGGAAGCAACCACACATTGATGTTTCTCTAACTCTATCTCTCCCTTTCCCTGTCTAAAAATAAATAAAATCTTTTAAAAATTTTTATTAAAAAAAAAACAAAAGAGAAAGAAATCCAACCACAACACTACAGAAAGTCATCAATATACAAGAGAGCAAGAGAGTAAGAAGGAAACAAAGAACTACAAAAACAATCCAAAACAATAAAATGGCAGTAAGTATACCTGTCAATAATTACTTTAAATGTAAATGAATTAAATGCTCTAATCAAAAGATGGATAAAGATGTGTTCCATATATGCAATGGAATATTACTGAACCATAAAAAAAAGAATGAATTTGGACCTACAGGGTGTTAAGCTAGGTGAAATTGGTTAGACAGAGAAGGACAAATGCAATACAATTTCACTTACATGTGAAATCTAAAAAACAAAATAAACCAACAAGATAAACACAAATTCACTGACAGAATAAACTGATGGTTGCCAGATGGGAGTGGGGGTTGGGGGACTTATGGAGAAGATCACTTTTTAAAGTTATATAAATATCTAATCACTATGCTGTACACCTAAAACTAATATAACATTGAATGTAAATTGTAATTTTAAAATAAAAGTTTAAAATAAATTAATAAACCCACTGGAAAAAGACAAGCTACAGTCTCCCTTACTTTGATGAAAAGCATGGTAACATGTAAAACCAGTATACTTTAGACCAATGTTACTCAAAGTGTAGTCTATCAACCTGTACTAGGCCAGGGGATAGGTACACAAATTTTAGAAACTTTTATATCTATTTCAGAGGGCAATTTTTGTCTACTGAATGTAGTAATAAAACATCAGGGCGTATATTCTGTATATTTTTAAAAAATTTCACTTTGTTTTTACTGTACTTTCTAAAATACTTGAAAAGAAGCTACTCTCTTCACTGTACATAAGCAGCACTATTATATAGGTTCACAAACTAAAAGTTTGAAATTCTACAAATTCTATAGAAGGGGGAAAAAAGTTCACTCTTAAGTAGTCCCTAAATGCTTCTCCTTCAAGTTTTTAATTTATTAAGAAGTTTTTCCAAATTGATTCTAAACTTAAGATACCTTTCAAATATGTTGCTTTTTTCAACCTGAATTGCAGTGCAAGCAAATTCAAATAAATTTCTAAATTAAAAGCTCTAAAAAATTTAATTGCAACTTAAATGTCAGAATTATTACAAAACCAGAAAGCCTACTACTACTTACAATGCTGAATGTCTTCTGATCCAGTTCTTCAGATTCTTCAGATATGGGAACTGGTTCACCACTTGCAGTGATATGAACTAGAGCATCTGACACTGAAGATTTCTTGGATTTTTCCTTGCTATCAGACTTAGATTCACTCAACTGAAGAAAAATTTAAAATAAAACAAAAACAAAAACCCATCAATAACAAAGTCAAAATGATCAACACTTCCAGAAAACAATTTCTCTATTATGGTCTATAATTGTTTATTCACATTTAATATTTTTATCTATTTTATTTTTTCTGATTTTATTTGGACAAACCAAAAATAAAGCTACTCTGTTATGTAACCCTACAGGTATTAAAAAAAAATTTTAAACCTATTTTTCTCTTCTACGAGATACCCACATGTTTTTAACTCAGTTACTAAGTCTAATTTGGGCTGATAGGCAATTTATTCTCCTAAAATGTAAACAAGCTGAGTGTGTAACTTTCTAAAGTTTACATTATGATTTGCATACCTTTTCTTCCTTTATGTCTTTTTCTTTCTGCATAGCTTCTATAACTTCTTTTATTTTGTTTTCTCTTTTTTCTTTAAAATCTTTTTCTTTTATATCTTTCTTATCCTCTTTTTCTTTTATCTCCCTTTTAAGTTCTCTTTTACTTTCCTTTTCTTTTGCTTCCCTCTTTTCTTCTGGTTCCTTCTTTATACAAACATCTGGCTCAGGTTTTTCTTCACTGTCTCTTTCTGTTTTAATTTTTTTATTTGGATGTTTCACAGAAGTGATCTCATCCTGGAAAGTGCAAGTATGGCCAATGTATTACTAACCAAATCTTGACAAAGATTAATTTATTTTTTTTGCAGGCTATCAACTGCATGTATGTGGATTCTGAAATAACCAGAATCCCATTAATAATGATACATGCAATGTCTTCTTAAAACAACTAATGTAAGCCAGTCCCATTCAAAATTCATAATAAAATTAAAGGAGACAGACCTCATTCAAATGGCAAATGTTTGAAAAGGAAGGACCTTTGAGCTCTCTCTCTCTCTAGTGTAGTGTATTATAATACAATAACATTACATTAGATGAATAGAATACTGTTCCATAAATGAGACTATGTAGTAAACTATTAAAAAAACCCCCAAAACCTCAGAACCAAAAGTAAAATTTCAGGCCTTAGTTCAAATTTCAAATGTAAAATATACCAAAACATGCCATGTTCCTTTCTATATAATAGGTTCCTCTTCTGAAACACATTCTTACCTTATCATCTTCATCAGACTTTTCTGAGGGGAGAGGAGAAGAATCGCTCTTTATTTCCTCTTTGACTTTTATAGACTTCATTGCTTTATTCTTCTTGGCTCTAGCTTTTCTCCTTTTTGAACCTCCCTAAAAATAATTATTTTTATTCTAATCAACTCCATAGATTCCATTTATTAAAAAAAAAACTTCTTAAATTTTCAATCAAAAAAGCCAAAGGAACACATATTTTTACCTAATCCTCATATAACCAGCTCAGAGAGTCAATGAAGGTCATGTAACTTAACAAAAAGGAATGAAGAGAGAAGTAGAACTAAAGAGAGATGGGAGGGTTTTTCATCCTCCTAAATTAGTATCCTCATCTAAAATTAATGCTACCAAAGACAGCATTAGAAATTATATTTAATGGTACACAGGTAGTTGTGACATTGTGGTCATAGGTAAACTTTTAAAGATTGCTGTAGTTTCTTCTGATCACCTCTCTTTTAGTGTCTTTTTCTTACTTTTGGAGTCTCCACATACGTAAGTTCGGTGATCTTTAATGCTGTCCCTTAGGCTTTCCAATGTCTCCAAATAACACAGCCATGGAGGCCTGGCCTCTCCAAAAGCACTCTATGCTAAACACCCTATTTCCTTTCCAAATACTAGCAAAAACCCTCCCCCAAACCTATCTCACTTCTGAAAGGCATGACTCATCAGTGTTAACATGAATGCTGAGAAAATTTAAGGCAAAAGTACTACCATATTTAAATAGATACTAAATTATAGGAAATTACGTGTAAGTGCATATTAACCAAGATGTTTAGTGTGATTTTTAACTGGTTTGCTGCAGTAATTTTTAAAACATGCAATACTTGACTGTTCAGTCAGGAGCACTGACCTCTTTCCCCTTAGAATGTCAAATAAAAAAAGAACAGCAGCCAACATAACAATAGCCATCTGGTGTTGCAGAAATCAAAAGTATACCTATTATGTTTTGTCAGATCAGCAAAAAGTATATTTTTGGGGGTCTGTCACAGAATTTTAGTAGCTTATATGTGACAGATGAAAAAGGCTGAAAATCGCTGATCTAGGATAATCAGTAAACTAGACTTATCTTACTGAAAAGTAAACTGCTCATAAGTATCTGAATTTTAACTTACCACACCAGAAAGTCTCTGAGCTTCTTTTCTTGCAAGATCTTTACTAAGCAATTTGATGAGGTAGTCTGCACGTGTCTGCAACTGTTTTGCTTGTGGTTTTTTATCAGGATCATCAGGAAGAATCTAAAAAGCAATTTTTTCATGTTGTTTTTAATTAATACCATGAAAAATTTAAAAGCTAAAACTTTTTATTCATTTTAAAAACATACAATTCACTAACAAATTATAAGTTCTTTAAATTTAATGGCTTAGAATGTAAAATGTAAAATACATTTTTTAAAATAGCTACGTCAGAAGATTTGGTTTCCCTGGAAAGAATCCTAAATAAATACATATGAAAAAAAATCCCTCTATTTGAAATAAGAACACAAAGTGTAAAGTTAGAAATTTCTTTCATTGTCCTATAGTGTATCTAGCATCCAGTGTTACTAAACACTATAGTATTCTTATAAAAGTCTATTTGCTATAAAGCATATAAAACTTCCAAGAATACAAAATATCATCTATCTAGAAGATGACCTACAACAGGCATTGTGGGAAAAATTTTACAGTGGGAATCTAAACTATTAAGTTTTGCTTTATAGTATCAAATGACAAAAATACCATTATCTGAAGGTTCCCATATGTTTGTGAAGTGAAAACATAAAATGGTAACTTAAATGATAAGAATAAAGCAAAGCCTCTGTGTTTTCCATTCCAGGCAATACAATGATTTTCACTTAATACGGTAACATCAAATCACCAAAAATCCTAAACATAGTTTGATATTTAAAAAAATTATAAATAAACCTATGTCTTAGTAACAAAAATAAAGCAAAATCTCAGAGATCATTTATATTTAACCCCTTCATGAAAACAGGTTCTAAAGAAGCCAAGATCACACAATTAGTTAGAACCTTGATTTCTTGACTCATAGTTCATTTTAAAAGCAAAATTAAATTCAGCATTAATGAGCAACAGAATCAATAAATATTTAATTACCTTGTGCGTCAGACTGAGGTCAGGATCCATTTTAATCATTTCCCAGCTCCCATATCCGTATTCGTATATACCAATTAATAAATTGGAATCATCTTCTTTGCCCCAGTCTATATCAAAATGAGCTGCCTTTGTATGGCATGGGACAGTATACCTAGCATTAAAGTTAATAACCAATGTCAAGTTTACAATTTTGCCTTATTAAAAATTAACTTTGAAAAACATACTAAGTCATTAGAACTTAATTTTATGTTTAAAAACATTTGAGTCAAGTAGCCAATGACGTTAAGAAACATTTTAAAACTGCAATCATACCCAAATTACTGAAGAACCATAAATATTTTAACAATGGAAACCATCAACTCACTGCTTTCTTTCCTCTGGATCTGAAGGAATGGATTTGTGCAATGGTATTAATTCTTCTTCATGGGAGATGACTAGCTTGGCATTCACCTGCACTCCTGATATTCGGAATGTTGGACCCTTTACTTTTCCAAGTCTACCACCTTAATTTTTTTTTAAAAAGGAAAAAAAAAGTACAAAATATTTAACTCTACAAAATAAAAAAGCAACATGTCATTAGTTATGTGAATAAGTATTACTTATTTACCTATATTAGTATGATTTATATTATTGGGGGACTTGCCAGCAAACCTTTTATTTCACTACAAAATTTTTCAGTACATATTAGTGATTAAAATATAGCAGATATGAATTCATAAAAAGTATTTCAGGTATTTAAGTGTTTTATCAATTGCAGAAGATATATCAGTCTATTAATATGGCCAACATTTAAGATTTCTAGTATTTTATTTCAGTATATCTGATTACTAAATCTAAATATTTTTATTTAGTGGCCCTGGCCAGTGTGGCTCAGTTGGTTGGAGTGGCAACCCATAAACTGAAAGGTTGTGGAGGTATGTGCCTAGGTTGTGGGTTTGGTTCCCAGTCAGGTTATGTGCAGGAAGCAACCAACTGATGTTTCTCTCCACACCATCGATGGTTCTCTCCCCACTCTTTCCCTTCCTTCTCCTCTTACTAAAATCAATGAACATGCCCTCAGGTGAGGATAAAAAATAATAAATTAAATAAATATTTTATTTGTGGATGAATTGAAAAATAAACATGATAAAGTAACTATGTCACAAACCAATATTACATGTGTATTCTTACAGTATCTTTTCCCAGTCATGTATTCTAAAAATACAGTACAACAGTAATTCCTCACATTACTTTCCAGTTTGAATTAAACCAGGCAAACATGCTCTTGCTTTCAATATAATTCTGTCCCCCATTTCCCATATGGAGCAACAGCTTTGTTGTGTAAAGCATCCTTTTTTCTTTTTAATAGATTTTATTGATTATGCCATTACAGGTGTCCCATTTCCCCCCTTCAATCCCCTACCCTGCACACCCCCTCCCCCACCATTCCCCCCTTTAGTTCATGTCCATGTGTCTTAAGTTCTTTAGCTTCTGTATTTCCCATACTATTGTCCTCCCCCCTATTTTATACCTACCATCTATGCTACTTATTCTCTGTACCTTCCCCCTTCTCCTCCTCCCACTCCTGTTGCTAACCCTCCATGTGATCTCCATTTCTATGGTTCCGCTCTTGTTCTAGCTGTCCACTTAGTTTGCTTTTGTTTTAGGTGTGGTTGTTAATAACTCTGGGTTTGCTTTCCTTTCACTGTTCATCTTTTTTATTTTCTTTTTCTTAGGTAAGTCCCCTTAACATTTCATATAATAAGGATTTAGTGATGATGAACTCCTTGAATTTGACCTTATCTGAGAAGCATTTTATCTGCCCTTCCATTCTAAATGAAAGCTTTGCTGGGTAGAACAATCTTGGATGTAGGTCTTTGGATTTCATGACTTGGAATACTTCTTTCCAGCCCCTTCTTGCCTGTAAGGTCTCTTTTGAGAAATCAGCTGACAGTCTGATGGGAACTCCTTTGTAGGTGACTGTCCCCTTATCTCTTGCTGCTTCCAGGATTCTCTCCTTCATTTTAATCTTGGCTAATGTAATGATGATTTGCCTTGGTGTGTTCCTTCTTGAGTCCAACTTCTTTGGGACTCTCTGAGCTTCCTGGATTTCCTGGAAGTCTATTTCCTTTGCTAGATTGGGGAAGTTTTCCTTTATTATTTATTCCAATAAGTTTTCCACTTTTTGCTCTTCTTCCCCTTCTGGTACCCCTATAATTCGGATGTTGGAACATTTAAAGATGTCCTGGAGGTTCCTAAGCCTCTCCTCATTTGTTTAAATTCTTGTTTCTTCATTCTTTTCTGTTTGGTCATTTTTTTTCTTCCTTCTGGTCCACTCCCTTGATTTGAGTCCCAGTTTCCTTTCCATCAACTATTGGTTTCCTGGACATTTCCCTTAGTTTCACTTAGTTTAGCCTTCATTTGTTCCTTTAATTTGTGACTAAAATCAACCAGTTCTGTGAGCATCCTGATCACCAGTGTTTTGAACTGTGCATCTGATAGGTTGGTTATCTCTTGTTCACTTAGAAGTAAGTATTGGCTCTGGAACTTTGAGCTGTTCTTGAGTCATAATGTTTTGGTCTTTTCGTGCCTGTTACATAGGAGGGGCAGAGTTTTAGGTGTTCACCAGGGTGGGGCAACCCAGTCCCTGGGTTGTGACGCTGTATGTGGAGGCGGGGTCAGAGAGGGGCAATGGTGCTTGTTCCCCGCTCTCTCTCAGATTTTGGTCCCCTCTGCTGCTTCCCGCAAGCAAACTTGGCCCCACTGGCGCCAGCTCCTGGGTGTGTGGGCCTGTGCACCCTCCAGGACCCTGCATGTCTCTCCAACAAACTCTCTGTGAGCCTGGGAGCTTCTCCTGGCACCTTGACCCGGAAAGTTTTTCCAATTGGTGCTTTTAGGCTTTACTTCCCATTGCTGGGGTCCTGGTTTGCACGGTCTGTCTCACTGCTCGCTCCTTCACCTGGTTTATCTGCATGAGAATGTGTGACTGCAGTCAGCCAGCCACCTTGTGCCCTCACTGGGTCTGCCCATTTCCACCCCACACCTGGGATCTGCCAACCGCCACCTGCGCTCCTGGGTTGGTCCTGCTGCATTTTCCTGCTGTGACCCCTTTCCACCAGCCACTGACTCTTCTCCTCTTACTGGTCTTGCTGAATGGTTTGTTGTTGTCAGACTTCCATACAGTTCAATTTTCTGTGTTTTGGTTGCATTTTTGTTACTAAAACTTTGTTGTCTTTAAACTTGGTTGTGTGAGGAGGCACAATGTTTCCACCTACGCCTCCATCTTGGCCAGAAGTCATGTAAAGCATCTTTTAAGACTAATGAATAAATAACTTAAGATATAGCACCTGCATAATTCTGTAAAAGCATATTTTAAAACTGCCCTTTACTGATCTTTAAATCACTCTCATTTTAACATTACCTGTCCGTTCTGTTCCTGAAGAATTATCCTTTAAAGCTTTAATGCAACCATTATGTACCAATTCTCCTAGTCGTCTTAGGTCTGTTTCTGACTTATCGACTAGTTCAGCATCTCGAGCAATTGCATCTAATCTGTAATAAAATAATACAATTTTCAGGTAAATATGCATACTAAGTTTCACTCCATCTCAAGGGTACAAATCACACTATTACATTCCCTGTCAATTCTAGTTCATAAAATTGGCATAAGATATATAAAAATCAGGAAGATCTGATGAGGAAACAATTCATCTACACATTCAAGAATAATAATAAAGTTAATCAGTTCATTACAGAGCAAAGTGGTATACTTCAAGTGTGAAGATTAATCATTAACATATAACACTTCTATATTATGAAGATTAATACCTAATACTTCTAACAGAGCTTTTCATCACTGATAAGATCTTAAATTCAAAAGGATGTGGTTAAGTGTTAGAATTATAAATGAAAAAGGTATTATAAAAGTCCTGTATTACTATGAACTGAATAGACAATATAGCTATTAATGTTTAAAATGTATTTTATATCAAAAAATAATTATTCAAGTCTTTCATTGTATTGTATACAAATGATCTAAAAATAAAACAGAAAATACCTTTATTTTAAGAGGAAGTTTTAGAGAGAAAAAATAGAGTTAAACCAATTTGAGTCTTTGCTACTCTACATCCAGATAGTGGGTTTGCCACAAAAGAATAAAGAATACCCAAATTACCAACAATAATTTAGATTAACTGATAACTTAAAAACAAACAAACCTGTCCTGACAACTTGGATTTTAATAGTTTGTATAAAAGAAGCTGTATTTAGCGAAACTTCCCTAGTAAGGGAAAATAAAACTGTCTTTAACATAGGTAGGCTATCAACTCAGTTTTTCTAAGAATAAATCTGTTAGTTTATAAGTTTATGATAAAAAGTAAGTAAAACATCTGAAAAATACCTTAGATTTATAAAAATGCAAAGTATTTTATAGAAAGCTTCATTGGCAGATAAAATTTTAGAGACTAGAAAGAATTAAGGATGGTACAAAATCATTTTTCAAAACTATACTTGGATTTTGGTTGATACAGATGAACTTTGTAAATGCCTATTAAAAGCAAATTTAACGAAGTACCTAAACTGAGTATAAACAAATAAAGCTGACAAGCACATAAAACACACTGTAATTCTGTAAGAATAACAGATGTATTTACCTTTCCAGAGGGCCACCAAATTTCTTGTAACTCTTGATAAACCTAACAGAAAATAAGTGTTTGATTTAAATGCAGGTTTCATTACCCATTATATACGTACAAAAATAAGAAAAAAGCTTGTTAGCACCCAAATTAATTCAAGGTATTGTTACTACCAAAAATGAATAAACTATGCTAGAAACCAAAGTGTTGAAACATTAACAAATACCAAATAAAACAAGACATATTTTAACACCCAGGATGATGTTTAGAAACCAATATAAATAAAACAATAGAAGCTAAATTTTATTTTAGAAATTACTTTATTATTTTCACAAGACAAAAAAAAAGGTTTAAGACGACCACAGGAAGTGTCTCCAGAATTATCAATCATATTATACTTCCTAATATTCCAAGTATTGATAAAATTTAACTATAAAGTATTAATTCAGATATACAGTATTAAACCAACAACAGAAAATAAAATTTACTTAAGAACAAAGCTACCCAAGTGGTTGATGGATGAGAGAAAATATCCAGGAAAAGTAGAAGTTGAAATGCCTCTTCAACTAAAGACAGAGAGTCCAGCAAATCAGGTGGTCATAAAATAACCTTAATAAAATCTAACAACATATTTAATTTTCTGGTAGAAAGAATGAGGAAGAACTTTATTGGTCAGGTCTATGATGTAAAAGAAAAGAGTTACAATGGCTTAAAAAAAACAACATACTCTCAAAATACAACAATGAACAACCTTTTTACAAATTTCATGAGCAAACTTATTATATAAACAAAAGTAAATGGTCATTCTATTTTGCATAAATACATCTGTATATAGAAATAAACATATTTTGAAAAATAAAAACAATTTATTTCATATACTCAATCTTACCTCAATTCCTACTTGGACATATCAGAAATACCCTTAATATGGTTACTTTAAAAAAACAAGTCACTTTGTAATTTAAAAAGTAGAAAAATATGAAACTAAATTACTCTCACATAAAAATAGGCATTAGTTGGGAGTCATATAAGTGCAGTGAGAATTTTTATTAAATAAGTCTAATATACTGAAATATACATTCATTATCAAAAAGGCCACTATTCTGAACTACTTTAATAAAACCAAAAAAGTTTAGCAGTCTAAATAGACTAACAATAAATAAATAAATAATATGCAAAGATTAGATGCCAAACATATTTCCTAATAGTTATAAGGAACACCCAAAAGCAGAAACCACCCAAACCCTAAATAATTATCATATATTAGTCTTCTCTAATACTTCATGTTTGAAAACTATGAGTTTTCTATTTTAGTTTCACCCTCTAATAAAAACAAGATGAAGTAAAATGGTGTTGTATCATCTTACCGCCGAATTTCTGCATCACTAAATCCTTTAATATTCTCTCGAGGGATAGTCCGTGGTCTTCCACGTTTCTTTGGCCTTTTCCTTTCCGAGACTGAATCACTATCAGATCCGGAGTACCTCCTACTTCTACTGCGCCTCCCTTCACTTCCATTGAAACTAACCTGAAATTCGAAATAAAAAATGTACCCAAGCTTGAAGAAGGTCTCTATTATTAGCAAAGAAAATCATTAAAAAATTGACAGTTAACAAATCCAAATGTTTTTTATGTCTAAATGCTCTATAAATAAAACTTAAGAGCCAATAAAACAGAAAAATATAGCACATTAACAGTCATTAACCTTAATAAGCAAAGCATTCTTATAAATCAGCAGGCAAACATTCACTAACCTTTTGTAAAAATACAAGAAAGTGTAATTAATCAAATAATAGAAGCATAAAATTATGTAAGCCCCACTGGTACATTTTTTAAAAATGAGAATTAAACTAGCAAAGAAATGCAATTCCTTTTTATATTAAAATTCTGTTTTATTTATTAATTTATTTTAAATATATTTTATTAATTATGCCATTACAGTTGTTCTATTTCCCCCTTCACTCCCCTCCACCCTGCACACCCTTCCCCCACCATTTCCCCTTTTAGTTTATGACCACCTGTCTCAAGTTCTTTAGATTCTATATTCCCCATACTATTCTTGCCCTCCACCCCCTATTTTCTACCTACCATCTATGCTACTTATTCTCTGTACCTTCTGCCCCCTTCTCCTACTCCCATTCCCCTGTTGCTAACCCTCCATGTGATCTCCATTTCTATGGTTCCTCTTCTGATCTAGCTGTCCTCTTAGTTTGCTTTTGTTTTAGGTATGGTTTTTAATAACTGTGAGTTTGCTCTCCTTTCACTGTTCATCTTTTTTAAGTCCCTTTAACATTTCATATAATAAGGGCTTGATGATGATGAACTCCTTGAATTTGACCTTATCTGAGAAGCACTTTATCTGCTCTTCCATTCTAAATGAAAGCTTTGCTGGATAGAGCAATCTTGGATGTAGGTCTTTGGATTTCATGACTTGGAATACTTCTTTCTAGCCCCTTCTTGCCTGTAAGGTCTCTTTTGAGAAATCTGCTGACAGTCTGATGGGAACTCCTTTGTAGGTGACTGTCCCCTTATCTCTTGCTGCTTCCAGGATTCTCTCCTTCATTTTAGTCTTGGCTAATGTAATGATGATTTGCCTTGGTGTGTTCCTTCTTGGGCCCAACTTCTTTGGGACTCTCTGAGCTTCCTGGATTTCCTGGAAGTCTATTTCCTTTGCCAGATTGGGGAAGTTCTCCTTTATTATTTGTTCCAATAAGTTTTCCACTCGTGGCTGTTCCTCTTCCCCTTCTGGTACCCCTATAATTTGGATGTTGGAACGTTTAAAGATGTCTTGGAGGTTCCTAAGCCTCTCCTCATTTTTTTGAATTCTTGTTTCTTCATTCTTTTCTGTTTGGGTCATTTTTTTCCTCCTTCTGGTCCACTCCTTTGATTTGAATTCCAGTTTCCTTTCCATTACTATTGGTTTCCTGTGTATTTCCCTTCATTTCAATTAGTTTAGCCTTCATTATGTTCCTCTAATTTGTAACTAAAATCCACCAGTTCTGTGAGGATCCTGATCACCAGTGTTTTGAACTGTGCATCTGAAAGTTTGGCTATTTCTTGGTCGCTTAGATTTATTGGCTCTGGGGCTCTGAGTTGTTCTTGAGCCATGTTTTGATCTGTTTGTGCCTGTTATGTATGAGGAGAGGAGCCTTGGTTGTTCACCAGGGCGAGGCCACCCAGGTAGCTAGTTTGTGATGCTGTATGTGGGAGCGGGGTCAGAGAGGGACAATGGCGGTCCCCTCTGCCTCTTTCTCCCTTGGGGCCTGTGAGGTCTGTCTTACTGCTAGCTCCTTCACTGGTTTATCTGTGTGCCAATGTGTGACCACGATCAGCCCTCAGTGGGTCCAATGCCTTGCGCCCTCAGTGGGTCCGCCCACCGCTGCTGGTGCAAGCACCCAGGTAGGTCTGGTGGATCTTTCCTGCCTGACCTTGCTCTGCTGCTGGCTCTGCCCCTCTTACCGGTTTGGCCGAAGGGTCCGTTGTTGTTAGACTTCCGTATAGTTCAATTTTCTGTGGTTTGGCTGTGTTGTTGTTGCTAAAACTTTGTGGTTTTTAAACTTGGTTGTGCGAGAAGGTGTGGTGCTTCCACCTACACCTCCATCTTGGCGGAAGTCCCCCAATTCTTTTATTAATCCATCAATTTGAACAGTACCAATTAAGCAATAATAGCTAATATAAGTAATGGTACAGAAAAAAGAAAAATAACACACTTCCGGTAGGTATTTAAACTGGGACTGAGGGCAATTTAGCAATATTACATCAAAAGCCTTGAAAATGATCGTTGTGCTGATCCAGTAACATCATGCCTGGGCGTTTTCCCTGCCATCAGAACTGTTAAGTTACACTGGCCAATAAAGTCATTTATATCACAAAATTAAAGAAAGAAATGAAAACAATCTAAATGTTTATCAAAGAGATTAGACAAATTATGCAATGGAAAGCTGAGAAGCCATTAAAAATTGTGTTGTAGAATAATTAACATTCATTATATACTGCCGAAGGAAAGAAAGCAACTTCCGAATTAATATTCTATTCAAGTTTGGCAAGTTATATGTACTAAAAAATTGGAATTATGTAAAAATATTACTAGTGGTTATCCCTGGGTGGACAGATTATGTGTCATTTTTCTCCCTGTTCTCCTAAGTATCCATTTACTGGTATTCTAATTAAGTTGATCAGATGTTTAAAAGAAAAAAATGCCAGTTGAACCCACATAAAAGCCTACTAAAACTACTAAACACCCATTAGTTGTTTAAAAAATAAACCAAAATCTATTTTCTGTAAGTGTTTAGAATTTTTCCCAAATCTCAGTACATAGTCTGAATACCTTTAATCTGCTAAACACTTATTGAAAGTTTTAAGAATGGGCATTTAGTCCTTATTTGTTTTAACCTCCTTTCAGTCTTTCACAAAATCTAATATAATGCTATGCTTCCCATCTACTGTAAAAGGAAGCCACTATAGGGTTTGCAGAAATAAACGCAAACAAGAAACTGCATACATGGGCACTTTCGGGCCAAACACATTATTTGGCTCCATTTCTGCGTGGGGTATAGAAAGTTGGTAGGTTGCACCTACCCAGACAACAAAATAATAATCTATAAAATCTAATTTAAAAATCATAACTTCCTTAAACACATCAAAACAGTAAGGCAATCTAGTAGTCTCAAATATAAGGAAATATAGCAGCTTGTAAGAAGAGATGAGGCTTGAACACTGCCACTTGTGAAGAGCATGAATAGTAGACAACGAGTACCATAAAAGCAGGCAGTATAAGGCAATAGTAAAAGCAGGCAATAGTAAAATTAGTTAGGTAAAATTTGCTAAAGGCTGCATGTGGGCTACCATGAGAGCAGAATTACTGCGAACCAAAGATAAAGGCACAACCTGCATCCAATCTGAAGTGCTTCTCCACAAACCTTCACCAGGTGCTCATGAGAAATACTGGAAGCAATGAGGGAAATTACAGAAAACTACTTTGTGGTGCAGCCCTGAACTAAAGGGACAGAAACCTTTGAAAAAACAGGCGGGAAATCTTGCCAGACCCATCTCACCTACTAGGCTGAGGGCACAGGAGAAGACCTAATATAGCTATAGGAAAACAAAAAAACTCTACCCTTGGGAGAAGAGTAGCAGGACAAGGACTAGGGTGAGGCAAGTCCCTCTTACCTCAGACTCAAAAATTAAAGTGGCACCAAAAGCTCAGTAATCAAGACAATATTATAATGCTATGTTCTAAAAAGCAAAAGTTAATGCAAAAAAAAAAAATCCAGTATTTTTTTTCCTTTTTGCAGCAGGTTCCAAAATAACTTGTCATAACACTGTTACCATTATTTTTAAAATCTGGTATTTTGTTAGTTTGGGCCATAAAATAAGTATCAAGTTTTTAAAAATTGGAATCACACAAGGTATGCTCTCTGACTATGACAGAAGTAAGCTAGAAATTAATAGCAAAGATACCTGGAGAAATCTCCCAAATATTTGGAAATTAAACAACATACTTCTTGGGGGGGGAACCCTACAAGTTAAAAGGATACCACAAGGGAAATAAAAAAGTATTTTGAATGAATGAAAAGAAAAACACAACAGATACCAAAATTTGAAGATCCAGAAAAGCAGAACTTAGAAACTTGTAGCATTAAATGCTAATATTAGAAAAGGAAGATCTTGATTCAGTGGTCTAAGCTTGTATCTTAAAACACAAAAAAGAGCAAATTAAAGCCAAAAAGAAGAGAAAAAAGAGCAGATACCAATAAAATTTAAAACGGAAAAATCAAAGAACCAAAAGGTAGTTCTTTAAAGAGATAAATTAAATAAACCTCTAACTAGAATGAACAAGAAAAAATTAGGTGAAGGGATTAAGCAGGGAAAAGCAAAACAAACCCTACAGACAACAGTATGGTGAATACCAGAAGGAAAGTGGGGTGGGGAGAAGTGGGAGAGGGGAAAGGTAGAACACATGGTGATGAAACTTGGAGTGGTGAACACACAATCCAACATACAGATGATGTGTTATAGAACTGCACACCTAAAACTTTTAACTTTATTAACTTATATTACACCAAAAAGTAAAAAGTTTACGGTAAAAAATAAAAAGAGAAGGGAATCAATAAATATGCTACAGACACCAAAAGGATAACGAGGGGATATTATAACTTCATATCTATAAATTTAACAAGTTAGATAAAAAAGACCAATCTATTGAAAGAAATAAACTGTCAAATTCACTCAAAGAAACAAAATACTCTGAATAGTTCATATTTATGAAAGAAATTGAAGTTATAGTTAAAAATTCTTCTAACAAAGAAAACTCCAGGCCTAGATGGTTTCCCTGGCAAATGTTAGCAAACATTTAATGAAGAAATAATACCAATTCTACACAATTCTTTCCAAAAAAGAAGAGGAGAAAGGAATACTCTTCAACTCAGTTATAAAGCAAGTATTAATAAACCAGGTAAAGACATTATAAGAAAACTACCAAACAAAAGACATCAGTCCAGACATACATAACCTTACATTATAAAAGTATCTTTTAAATTAAAAAGTCACCTGTTTAGCACAGTTTCTCATTCTTGGAAGCATATAAATTTCTTCGAGTTCTTTTTGTCTTTCTTCCTCTTCTAATCGTCTCCTTTGATCTTCTGGAATGATTTCTTCCCAGTTTTTTGAATTTCTTTCAGGTTCCAACTCAATGTCATCCTCATCCATGTTGGAAAAGTTGGCAACCTGATGAATTCCAGAATAGTAACAGAATAAGGGTTCAAAAAAAACCTCACCCTTAAATTTTATTTTTCTTTTTTAGGGGGCAGGAAGTGGCATACCTGAATAAAACAATAAAACTTGAAGTTTCTCAGGATAATGAATATGACTACAAATTAAACCAAGTAAGAATGCTGAATGCTAAAATACCTAAGTTCACTGTTTAAAAAAAAATTAGGTCAAAGTCCATCAAATCACAAATGACTTCTAAGAATTCTCTTTTAGGAGTGATTCTCTTTTGTCCTACTATTAAATTATTACCAAAGAACTAGAAAAAGTTAACAGAAAATCAAGTAATTCATAGTAGCAACATACTAAATCATCTTCTGCAGGAATTACCCCACCAGTTCATTAACTACCCAGTGATATAGAACAATCCAATATTCTTATTTTTACGATAAACTAGTACTTAAAGAGCTACTGAGGAGCTACAGGAGCCCCAAAACCTTAAATTTATTTAGTTTCCATAAGCCCTAGTTTTTTACTTCTAAAAGAAGAGATAATAATAGCACACTAACTTTCTTGAGGATTAAATAAAATAATATATTTAAGGAACTGGGCAGTCTGGTATACAGGAAGCACTAATTTAAGGTAATTGCCAATATCAATACATTAAGAATTATAGATAACTGGATGAAGACAAGAAAATGATGCTTATCCATCATAAGGAATGGGGCTCAAAACATAGTGTTTATTCTCTCATATGTGTTATTTAAAGCCAGCTGTGTAACAAACTACTGGTATAAAATTAATGAATATTGCATAAATGTATATTCTAGTTAACTTGCTTTTTCCAAATTTTCAATCAGTCAAATTAAGAGAAGCTGACAGTATAACTTCATATAAAGAAAGAGTTAATTAGCCCTGGCCAGTGTGACTCAGTTGGTTGAGCATCATCCCTCAGAGTGAAGTGTTACTGGTTCAATTCTAGTCAAGGGGGCACATAACCTGGGTTGCAGGCCTGGTCCCCAAAAGGGGCACATACATGAGGCAACTAATCGATGTTTCTCTCCCTCTTCTTCTCCCTCCCCTCCCCTCTCTAAAATAAATAAATAAAATCTTAAAAAGAAAATGTTAATTAGACTATAGCCAGAGTCAGTGCAAGTTTCAGAAACATTCACCTCTCACCACAATTACTGAAATAATGTTCAAACTCATCTCCCTTTTAATTCTTTCTCCAATACAGTACACCCTCTACATTGCAGTGGAGCAACCTATTAAAATTACTAAAGTTTTTATTCACTGTTGTGTCGCTGTACAAGTGACCAATAAATTATTAAATGAACAAATGACAAACTGAATTGATCCTTACAAACCGTGGTCCATGGAAAACAGCTAAGAATGCACAGAAACCTGCTTTTCTATACTAAATAATTAGCACACAACTTAACTCTAGGAGGTCAGTTGACTTAACATTGCTATGACTCTTGGCAACCTTTTAGCCCTCACCAAATCTGGGGTATTTGTAAGTACTAATAGGAGCTTACTGCTATCTTTGACCGATTTACTTGAGTTTTCTTAGTTGTGATAATGCTTAAATTAATCTAACGTCAAAACTGCTCTAGTAAAAATCAGATAAAAAACATCAGTCATGGAAATCTAAGTAAGAGATCACAGTCATTCTTTTACCCATATATTTAAGGGTACACTATTTGCTGACTACTGTTCTAGGTGCTAACTTAAGTAAATAATATCCTTCCCCACTCCATTAAAAGTTAACTATTCTTAAATGATTTGATCCCTTTTAAATCAGTTTGCTACTGGTTTGTCAGAATAAGGAAAAAATAATTTTATACATCATAGCAAATTTTACGACAAAAATATCAAGAAAAACAGCCCCTCTCAATTTACATTATATTATAAAGAAAAATTTTAAAGAAAATGTACCTTGAACTGGGAAAGTAATTCATCTCCTACAGTTAAAGGGCCTGGTTCATTTTCATGAGTTTCAGCCCTCTTTAAGATTTCATCTATATCCATTTCCTGTAATTAGAAAGAAATCTTTAAATACACTTTAATACATTTTAAAGAAAGTATACTTTATACTTAAATACAGTTCAAATGGATGACACATTTTGAGGCAAGGTTTTTTATTGTTTTTTTTTTTGTTTTTTTCACCTGGGGTTCTTGTTCTTCTCCTTCTGGTTCCTTAAAAAGTTCCTCAGCACCAAATTTTAAAATGGCAGATAACTCTTCTTTATTGAAAGGAGTAGAACTATAATCAAGAAAAACAATACTTACACTTAAAAATTTAACATTTACACAGGACTTTTATTAATTATTGACACAGTCACCTTTTAACAGTTACATGATGGGTCGGTAAAGCATCAGCAGTATACTTATTTTAAAAAGAAAACAATGCGAAGCCTAAATGTTAAAGGGGTTTCCCCCAAGATTATAAAACTAGAGCAGTAAAACTAGGTACTAAATGTACGTCTTTGACTAGAAATTAGTCCAGTGCTTAAAAAAAAAAATTATTGAACACTGAACAGAGTTCAATGTTCTGCTTACAGTATGCAACATTTCCAAAAAATTAGTGGATTCTAAATTAGTATTTTTTTTTTTAAGTAACTACCTTGAGGGGGCAGAACCTGTGTGTAGTACTGTCTTCCCAGTTGTGTCCATTCTTTGAATCACAAGATGATCTAATACCATCTTCTTTTTGGCCCTTTCAAGAATATCCTCTTCCACTGATCCCTTTGTAACTAGACGATAAATATTTACCTGTAAAGATATGCATGATGAAACAAACTGAAATAAAGAATTTGTTATGCAAACCTGAAGTGCCCAAATATTGTAATATATACTGAAGCTCATCCCACATGAAGTTTTCAACTGGTTAAAAGGAAAACGAGAAATATATACATACACACACACACACATATACACATACACACACACATATATAGATATATATCTATCTCAATGTGTTCAAAGCTAAGGTCCTTCAATTCAGAGATTATTCTGAGGGTATATGTCCTCCCTTCTTACATTTTGATTAGGACATTTTGTTTGCTTTCTTTACATTAAGAATGCTAGTAATTTTTAAATTATTTTTTAACTATGAAAAAAGGAAAAAAATGGTAAACTTATGACTACCTTAAACCAGTTTCCTCAATTCTGATATTTCAATATTCCACATAATCTGAAATTCTATAAACCAATCTCCAAGTTATGATAAGGTCTTGTGATAGAACAAAGCTTTCCAAAATAGACAAAAATTGAAATGTAGTAATTTTGTACTATTTCTCAAAGTCATTGGTTCTGTAACAAACAATACTGCCATGCAGAGATATTTTCAAAGTTCACGGGAATATTGTTAATATTCACAATAATTAGGTGGACTTAACCAGTATTTAGAGTACAGAAACCAGAGATACTAGATATTCTGCACTATTCTGGACTTTGTGGCATAGTTGTGATCTTATTCAGATACTCTTATTCTCAGAGGCTGACCATGTAACTTCCTATAGTATCGTTCTTACAGGCTCTATTTTTTATCACCTACTAGGAAATGTGGTGGCCAAGGTCTTTAAATAGTATAAATGGAATGTAAGTCTGTCTTTGTGTTAAGCATTTCAATATAGGAAGTACCTGTTTGGTGCATTTAATCATTATTCCCTATCTCATCCATAACACAGGAATATTCTGACTTCATATATGTATTAGGCCCAGCTTGCCTGTGAGAATATCACATTTTCTCACTTTCTCCTCTTTTAAGTCTACAATCAATTTGCCTTGGCATATTGTCATTCCCACTTCAAGTTCCCCTCTGTATAATGAGTAAGTCTGTTATTATTTAATCTAACACTGGTTTTTATCCTCTTATGTACCAATATACCCCTGTGCTTTTACCTTCTTTTGTAGTTCTTCAAAAGAATGAATCCCACTCTTATTTTCTCAACTCTAAACTTGTTCTTTATATCCTTGTTTAGTCATATACATTGAATACCTGGGATTTGAAAAGAAGTCTCTCTCTCTCTCTCTTTTTAACCTAAATAACTATTAGGGCATCAGAATGACTTTTCAAATTACATGTATCCATTTCAAGATAAAAAAGGGTACTAAAAACAACTGTCATAAAAAGGGGTCATTTGCATTTTGTCTAATGAAGTTGAGAACTACTACTTTATACAAGCTTTCATTTAGGGGTATGCAATATTATACCAGAGTATAAAAAAATTATAGGAAGAAGCATGACATATTCCTAGTAAGGCATATGATAATTATCTGAATACAAACATTTTTAGCTTTAAATCAAGGATATCTTTCAGTAGAAAATATGAATGTTTAATAAGCCATTAAAAATGACTAAATGTACTAAGCCTTTTTGTGATATTTGTTCATATTACCTGCTTTGGTGAAATTTGTGAAATACTATATAGATGGACATAAATAAATTAATACAAGAACCAAGGTATCAAAATGGCAACAGTTTTTCTCAAGGCCTGTTACAACTGCCTAACTGTCGTACAAAAACTATAAAATTAGAATGGCTTTTTTACACAGAAAATCTTTGAGGCACAGGTATAAAATACAGGCTAACAAAGAGGTAGCAATGTACTAAGCAAAATCTCTTTCAATCTTCTGAGTTAAAGTAGTTAAAATATGTTGGGGGCTGGGATAAGCCTGAAACAGGCTGATACAATCAGACCGGAAGGTTGCGCCTGAATAACAGGACGCTGCGGTTAGGAGCCATAGAACTCCACCTCCTGGACATGCAGGTGGCACACCAATCAGTGCCTTGATCATGCGCCCACCATGCGCCCCTCACCCAATCGTAGGCTAGAGCACGCCTTGAAGCCCCCTATCCACTGTGTTTCCTCTACTACCCTCCTCTATATAACTCCCTCCATTTTGAAATAAATTTGCAGCTTGATCAGAATCCTTTGTCTTGCTGCCATTCTTCGCGCCTCCTGTCCCATCCCCCTTCATCCGTTACAGGTATATCCGCGGACCCCGTTGACTGCCTCGCGGGCCGAGGCAAAAATAAAACAGTTAAATACAATGAAGACATTGTTAAGTTTTATACTGAATGAAAAACATTGTACCCTACAATTGTAAACAGAATATATTATCAAAAGAGAGTGCATGATTCTATTCAGGCATAGGTATCTCAGTTCTGTCAGACTTCCCAGGAGATTCTGGTAAATTTGAGTTCCTCATATAACAATGACCATGTTCTAAAGATCTAACCAAGAGGATAAATCAAGATCACACTGATCATTAAAAGATTCTAAAAAAGTTAAATAAGGGAATAAAAAATACCTGTTTCTTCTGCCCGATTCGATGAGCTCTAGCCTGTGCCTGAAGATCATTTTGTGGATTCCAATCAGAATCAAATATAACAACAGTGTCAGCAGAAGCTAAATTAATTCCTAGACCTCCAGCTCTTGTGGAAAGCAAAAAGCAGAAATCCTATAAGGAATTATAAATAGGCACAATTTTAAAGTCTCAAAATTATAACTGTAAATAATCAAAATGAGATTTTAAAATTGACCTTTTGAATTTAAAAATATTTAACAAATAAAACCAAAAGGCAGTTTTAAAAAATACTAATAAAATATATACACTTCTATAAAATCAAACAAGACTTCAAAATACAGCTCTATACATAGGAATAATAAACATAATATACAAAAAAGAATAATAAACATAAAGTACAGAAAAATATCTAATGAAAGTGGTCTAATTTACTTTGAAGCAAATGAACTGCCTTATGCTAAAATAGTATTGGCTAAAATAATGACTAATTTACAATTTTAAAAGCATTCATACCTCTGATCCTTCTGCATTAAAATGATCTAAAGCTTGTTTCCTCAATTCCCCCTTTATTGATCCATCTAATCTCTAGAATAAAACACATTAAAATATCATATAAAAATTTTTAAATGAATTAAAATAAATTATAAAATTAAGTATGTATAGAAATGCAGCATTGCTTTTACTAAGACTGTAAGAGTAGAAAGTACTTTTTAGGCAGTAAAACAATGACCAGGTGGGTATTCTGTCTCCAGAGTTGGTGCTCTTAACTACTAGGACTGCTTTCCAGAATAGTAAATGGCACAACCTGTCATTCTGCTGGAGACTCACTGTAAGAAATACATTTTTAGAAATGCAAATTATTGAGCGCCATCCCAGACTGATGAAACTCTGAGGGAGAAAAACCCTCCAGTTAAAATTTGAGAATCACTGATTTGGAGGTTTTAAACAAATAGCCCACATTTATGTTCATAGGTGCCTTGGGGAAGTGATTTGATTTTTTTCCTTTTTAGTTTCCTCCTCAATAAATGGACACAACAGTAGTACTTCATAGAACACAGAAGATTCTGTGAAGAGAATGTAGTAAAATACTTAGCATACAGTGCCTGACATACTGAGTGCTTACTAACACTAGCAAATCAACACACATCCAAAATAAAATAAAATTTCAAATAATGTGTTTTCTTTTTTACTAAAAATTACAATTAGAAGAAACCTTTAAAAAAAACAGTGGTATATCATTCCTGGTCAGGTGGCCCAGCTGGTTGAAATGTCATCTGCACACCGAAAGGTTGCACGGGTTGACCCCCAGTTAGGGTGTGTACAGGAGGCAACTAATCAGTGTGTCTCTCTCACATCTGTTTCTCTCCCTCTCCCCACCCCTTACTCTCTCTCCTGTGAGAATAGGAGAGAAATCAAGAAAACATATCTTGGTGAGGATTAAAAATGCATTAAAAATTAAAATAAAAAAATAGTGGTATATCATATTTTGAAGCATGACCTAAAACAAAAACAGTTAAAAATGATTCTTTCTGGGAAGTGATCTGGAAATGAAAAGGTACTAGGAACACAGAACGGTTGTTTACAAGCACTACTGTACTAGATTTTTATTTGACCATGTATGTATAATGATTTGTTTAAAAACAAACCAAGAGAGCCATAGTGGGAATTGGGAAACAGAAGGTGATAGCTAGCTAAAGGGTATAGTTTGTTTTTGAGATGCTAAAAACATTCTACACCTGACTATGGTATGGGTACATATATCTGTAAATACGCATATATTAAAAAAATCAATGAATTGTGCAGTTTAAGTGAATGAATTGTATGAAATAGAAATTTTATCTCAATAAAGCTATCAAAAAAAATCAAAGGCACTCTTTCTACTTTTACCCTTAAATGACTACATATTTCTCTCTCAATCTTGTCCATATCACCAACCACCTGTGCTTCATAGCACTTACCAGAATAGTAATGTGTTATTGGTTTGTAATTACCCTGCTGTAAACTCCAACAGAGTAGGGATTATGCATGCTGAGTTTGATCAATATAATTCTACTTCTATTTTACTGACTGGACTAAATACACACACTGTATTTTTTCATGTAAAATGTGCACCGATGTTTTTGGCCCAAACTTACACAGAAAAAAGATCTTTCATTTTAATTTTTTAACTCAATTATTTATTTATTTATATTTAGATACTTGGTTTTTTTCGTATTATAGATGAATTTCAGCATTTATTTTTGAACCTATTATGGTACAAGAAATTTTATACAACACATAAGGAAAGATACAAACAAGGTATTTCAGGCACTACCCATGTATAACACACATCCTTATTTTTCCCTCAAAAATTTGGGCAAAAAAAGTACTCATTACACATAGCAAATATGGATTTTACTCATTATACATAGCAATTCACTAGCTGCATATATTGGATTAAAATTATTAGATGTAAAAGTACTGGAACTAACACCTGACTCTAACACTAAACACTCATTCATATTTACTTTATGTTGAATAAATTTCAAAGTAAATACTGTATAGACAGAATATAAACCCATTTTGGTCTCTGGTACCCTCTAAAGTCATCTAGTTTTATTCAGTAAGCTATGCTTCAGAGTAACTCTAAACACATAAACCTTCAAAATCAGCAAATCATGGTAACATTCACAAGGACTGCTCACACTAAAGCCTAAAACATAAGGCTGCTCCTTCAGATTTGAGCATAGAAGAGAAACACAGAATTAAAAGAAAATAAAAATTTTAAATTGCTTTGCTGCTAAATGTAAGGTCAAGAAGAAAAAGGGAGTAATGACAAATAGAATTTTTAAACATTTTCTTAAAAGTAGTCTATATAAAAATCTACTTCATTTAGAAAAGATTTTCGAAGGTTCACAGAACATGCTGAGGAATTATATGAGATTTAAATCAACAAAAATGACAAAATAAAATGCTTACTTGAAAGGGGAATTGACGGTATTTCAAATATTCTGCAAGTATATCTAACATCCGCACCATTTGAGAAAAAATAAGAACTCTATTGCCTCTTTCTCTTAGGCGAATTAACAGCTTGTCAAGAAGAATCAATTTTCCGCTACTACGGATTAAGTGCTAAGGAAACAATAAATTACAACAGTTATAATTGTTAAAAGAACCAATCAAATGAAACAAATGCCCCACTTAACACTTCAGTTTAGTTAAACAGACATTTTAAATGTTCATAATGTAAAAAGTTTTTTTCAGTTTACTAATTCTTCTAGGACATTTAACATTTTGTTCTATGCTTTAAGCTAAAATTTTCCTTGCCTTTTAGCACCTAGTTTTTTTTTGTATTTTCAGGAGGGAAAAAAAGACATGGTCTTACTCTATTTCATATTTATTACACTATTTCTCCAAAAATCTAAGCTGAGTCCTGGCCGGGTGGCTCAGTTGGTTGGAACATTGTCCCTTGCACCAAAAAGTTGTACTCGATCCTGTATGGGTTAGTGTACAGGAGGCAACCAATAAATGTTTCTCTCTTGCATAGATGTTTCCTTCTCTCTCTCAAATCAATAAAAAACCATATTCTTGGGAAAGGATAAACAAAAAATCTCAGCTGAAAAACAATACACTGGAAGAAGTAGAAACTAAACTTTAAAAGAGTAAAAAAACATATTCTAATTTATACATATGGAATTTTATGATCCCAGCACTTCAAAGCACTACTGTAGCTGGATGGCAACTGTACTTTGCTCACACTTCTGATTTGTCTTCCAGCAGTGAGAAGAAGGGCAAGATCTGAAGTCAAGATAGCCTTCTTAAGACTGTGTACAATAAAAAAGAGGTGAACTTTGTACAGTCTTTTATGTAATCTACTAGCATATGTTTTGTAGACTGTTTAATGACTGGGTATCTTCCTGCAACTTATGAAACACAAAACCAGTACCTGTACATTGTTTTAAAATCTATTAAAATTGTCATTTGACCTTTTTCCCATTAACTTGTATCGTAAAATTTTCAAATCTTAAAAAAGTCTTCTTAAGACTACTATTTGACATTTTACAAATTCAGCATAATAGCTATTAGTGAATATTTTTACAATAAAAAATACAAGACTTGCTGGATAAATTACAACAGCCCATATTTAGAAAGATTCATTTTCAGAAAAATAATCAAAATAATCGAATAAGTTTTAATTTTAAAGGATTTTGATAAGGGCTAAATGGTAAAAATTACCATTACTTAGATATACCATTAATCAAAGAGAACTTCTAACCAATATATTAAAGTCATTTTTAGTTATAACTGAAATAAACATTTCTAGAATTTTGTTTTACCCAAATTTAAAATTCTTACTTGTAAGGCCTCCTGTTTATTATAGAATTCATTATTGTCTGGTGGTTTAATGAGGTAGCAGTGATTACAACATTTCTTCAGCTCCATCATAATGTTCAAAAAGCCTGAGGTACTGCCCTTGGAACCTTTGCTGAGGGCTTTATAATTCCTGGTTAGTATCCATCTGTTTAAAAAAATTATGAAAATAGTGCTTAGCAGAGAACAATGACCAGAATGAATTCTAAACACACACACACACACACACACACACACACACACAAACACAGGCACCAAAGCAAAATTGTACCACTGTGAAGTTCACAATGTCGTATTATAGACCAAAGATTGTTTACAAGACTGATAAACCTAGTTCATAAGACTAAGGATAAATTGTTATCAGACATAATTAATGGTAAAGGCCTAATGTAGCATAGTGAGTAGAGTGTATTAATCCTTTTCCAAAAAATTTACTTTAAAAATGGCCAACTGTATTATCTATCTTAACCTTCTCATAAGTTTTATTCTATCAGGCAGCTAATACACAGACCTAAAAGAATCCTCATAAAGATACCTGGTTTAGCCACACTGATTTCTCTTAAAATTACAATTATACAATACATACACAAGTCAGAGAAAAATTATGGGTGGTTATCTAAATTATACAACACAGCATTTCTTCTTGCCATGATCTACTTTGTTTTCTACCACCTTTTATTTTTTTTCTTTTTACAGTGTTAGTCTACAACATAACTTAAAATACTTATGAGGCAGGACCCCCAAAATCCTAAATTATCTTGTGGAGGGCCTATAGTACAGGATTTCCTCTCTAGATGAGTGTTCTAGAAACCCATCTGTATTGGTGTACCAGATGGTTGTTGTGAGAGGGTGCGTTTGGCTTCAGTGAATTTTTTCTGAAGACTCAATATGCTTGCCCATTTCAGGAGGGAAGCACACCTCCCCACATTATGCTGAGTGTTCAGCAGTTTTTGACCAAAAATGGCATGACCCCCATGCCCTATATTCCTTATTCACCCAATGTCGCCCTGAGCAACTTATTTTTGTTTCCCCAGATGAAAAATGTGCTCAAAGGGAAATGCTTTGAAGGTTGAAAAAGCAAAATAAAAAATGGCAGAAGCACTAAAAGGGCCTCAAAATCAGTGAGTTCAAAAACTGTTTTGAGCAGTGAAAAAAAAATCTTGCTAGGTGCATTCCATCAAATGGAAAGTACTATAAAGATGCCTGATGTTTAAACATGTAAGAATTAACACACGGTTTTTTTATAAATAAATTCTAGGGTTTTTGGGGGCTCCTTCCTCATATCTCTGATTTGCTTCAAAATGATAGCAGGTGGAGGAAGTGGAAGTTGCTACAGATTAAAAAAGAGTGGCTATGAGTTGGAAAAAACTGAGTGATGAGACTTTATTATATGACCTTTTGTGTATGTTTGAAATTTTCCATAATAAAAGCAAAAATTCATGTGATAAATTTATTTTTAAACATATAGTGCTTACAGATTTTACTATAAAATGCTTCTGAGAATTCAAATGCATGTAGCAATGCACTTTATACAATTAGATGTTTAAATAGCTGTTAGAAAAAAATTTTTTGATTCATTATTATGTAGATCTGATGCGCATAATTTATATAAAATGATTAATATTAGTATAAAAAAACAGGCCTAGGATTATTTTCTAAGTTTCTCTTCCAGGCCTCTACCTCTATCTGCCAATTACATAATTATTATAATTACATAATAATGCCTTAGTACCATGGAAATCCTCACACTGAAAAGGAACCCTCTATAAAATGACAATATAAAATAGAGAAAAGCAATTGATGATGTATTAGAAAGTGAATTATTTAGTCTTATATCGCCCATGATAGATGATGCCATTAAATCTCTCTCTGCCCCAATATGCCACAGAATAAACCTATTCTAAAATTCAAGAATTGCTACCCTATTGGGTGGATGGGGACACCTCGGTGTGACAAGTACAGGGAGGTCCTTTAGAATTAAATGTTCAGATCATGTGCTTAGTTTACATCTTACTTGTAATACTGTTTCTGTAAAGCACTCATTTCCATTCTTAAAATCTGCTCAACCTTGGCAGGAAGCGATTTTTCCACATCTTTTTTAACTCTGCGTAACAGAAACGGCTCAAGTTCCTTGTGGAGGCTTGCATAACCATATTCTCTACCTTTGCCATGTTCTTCTTCAAAATCTTCCCAGGAAGAAAACCTTACAAATTTAAGAAAATGGAAGAATCACTAAAAAAAGTCAAATTGCATTATGAGATTTTTCAGTGTATTCATATGTAAACAAAAAATAGATTTTTAGGAAAAAATTAGCTGAACTTAGTCATTTTAATAACTATATAAAGATAAAACATATGGAGTTGTTTTATAGAAATTATGATTCTCCCTGAGTTAAATAAAGATGAAGTATTTTCAAATGTGGGAGTAATTATCACTAGCATACTTCTCAAATGATACAATCTTAAAGTTCTGAAACTACAGAAAGAGTATATACAGGACCTAAAACAAGTTATGTATATATATACATATATATAGTCTATATATAGTCTATATATAGTCTATATATAGTCTATATATATATACATATATATATAGTCTAATTTTCCTCATTTAGAAAATGGGATTACCAGCAAGTAATCATTTTTGAGTTTTTAAGAAAGGTATACTTTGAACATGGGCAAAACCTATTTTTATTATAAATGAGTTCAAGCTTATTTATTTGCAAAATAAAAAGATTAAAACAGCACTACAAATATAAACTCATAATCTGTGGTCCAATGTTTTAGGGCAGTAAAACCTCTTCCTGACCTTATTACATACACGAATTATTTCCTACTAAACTTAGCATGAGAACATTAAAATTTTATATCCCAATTTATCTTACTTTTCGGGCATAATGAAATGAAGCAAAGACCAAAGCTCTTTGAGGGAGTTTTGTAGAGGAGTTCCCGTGATAAGAAGACGGTGATTGGACTTAAAGTCTATTAAAGTTTTGTACAGAAGAGAATCATCATTCTTTAAGCGATGTGCTTCATCTACACCTATAAATGCCCAATTTAGACCTCCAAGGAATGCCTTAAAATAAATAGAAGAACATAATTAGTATTTTAAAAGAAAAAGTGAATTCAAACTCATGCTTCCCATTTGGACTGAATTCAAATTATTAAAATGAAGCGAATTAAAAACAAACTATCCCAATTTTCAAATAAAAATTATATCATTTCAAGATTAATTGGAATCCTCAAATCAATTATGTCAATAAAATAAAGTTCCTTCCATGACCGATTTAGCTATGAAAAAGCAAAGCATAATACTGAAAAAAATTTTATTAGATTACAGATGGAAAATAAAGGATAAAAAACAATAATATCACTTAAAAACTGCAGAAGAGACCTGGCCAGGTGACTCAGCTTGTTGGAGCATCACCCCATACACCAAAAGGTTGGAGGTACAATTCCCAGTAGGGACACATATGGGAGGCAACTGATCAATGTCTCTCTTCCTGTCTGTCTCTCTTGCTCCCTCTCTAAAATCAGTAAGACATATCCACATATCCTCAGGTGAGGATAAAAACAACAACAACACAGAATTCTATTTAAAAAAATAATAAAAATTAAAATTTTACAAGAGATTAACTGAAGCCCAGTAAAAGCTTCTATTAATGTCAATTTAAAGAAAACAGAATATAAATTTGGAACAGTCTCACTCCAAGTGTAAATATAATTTACTGTATGGTTTCTATGAATTACAGATTTCTCATATATAAACACAAGTCTCTCGGTTAAAACAGAGACAGGCCTGATTCTGCTGCCGAATAGTTGTATGACCTTACATAAGTCCATTAACTTTTTTGAAACTTGATTTTCCTTTCTAACAAAGTAGAGATAGCAATATCATGTGCAGTAAATAGGAATTACTTAAGATATTAACTATAGAATAAGACAATAGCTATAAAGCATTTAGCACAGTACTGCACACAATGGTAGTTAAATCCTGTTAACTAGATACCCTTCTCCTTTAAAGGAGACACTACACTAAACCAGTTTCATGAAAGTCAGGAGTAAGCAAACTTTTATGTAAAGAGCCAGATGGTAAATATTTTAGGCTTTGTAAACAAATGTATGGTCTCTGTTGTATACTCTTTGGTTTGTTTTGACAACCTTTTAAAATGTAAATATTATTTTCAGTTCAAGGGTCGTAAAAAAATAAGCCAAACTTGACCCACAGGCTATAGTTTGCTGACCCTTGATTTAAGTTATCCACAACACATTGTAAAGGAAACACTAACATTCATCAAACAAAAACATAGGTAATACATACCTTATCCTTTAATAAAATTTCGTAAGTTGTTAACAGTATATTAAATTTTAACCGTTTGGTCTGGGGATGCATCCATTCATGAGTTCTTATCTATCAAGAAATTTTAAAGATAATTTTAAGATACACATTTTAAAAAGTATACTTTTACTGGAATATCTAAAATAAAATCCACTCAAAAGATACATAAAAATTATGTATATATTTTACATAATAAAATAGTTTAAATTACTCTTTATACAATCCAACAAGCTATATTGACCATGTAAATACCAGTTATCAAAATCTATAAAATAAAGCAGACATGTTTTTAATACTATATACTTCTTACTGAAAAAAGTTAACTCAATACTACTAGTTAACTCATTTAATAACATTTATGGATGAAATATGATATCTGAGGTTTGCATCACAATAATTAGGAGGAAAATACAACCTTGAGATACAGATGAAACAAAACTGACAATGAGTTAAAATTGTGAAGCTGGAGACAGGCACATGAGGGTTTACTATTCTCTTGTGTCTGCTTTTGTGTACATTTGGAACTTTCCATAAGAAAGAAAACATAATCTATAAAGTTAACACTAAAGCAAAAATTAATTTTTAATTACAGCCAATTAAAAATGCATTGAGCACTTACTTTTTGGCAAGTTCTATATTAGAAATTAAAACTACAAAGATCAGTGAGTGAAATACTTGTCTTCAAAGAAAAGTATGCCTAGATTTCTAAATTTGTGGAGAAAACACTTACCATGTTTCTGCTGTTAATGTCACCTAAATAAACCACAGCATTCATTTGAGAAGCCCATGTCTGAATCTCCCTTTGCCAGGAAGTTAGAGTGGAGAGTGGTACTACTAACAGAAAAGGCCCATATAATTGATGTTCATGAAACAAATAGTTCAGAAATGAGATCGTCTGTATTGTTTTTCCAAGGCCCATTTCATCAGCAAGTATGCAACTATTTCCTCTACAAAGTTAAAAACAAAAATCATGTATGCAACAAAGATTCAAATTTAGAGAGAAATGTTTTTACATAATCCATTACATGTTTATACAAACAAATAAAACTAATCTGATACTTGTTACATACAACATACTATTTTTATTAGCTATATAATAAATGTAAGGACATAATGGTTTAAGAGAAGTACAGGGAATTTACCATTTAGGTCAGAGAAATTTAAAAAACTGACAGTACTTTTCAATTAATCAGTTATATAGCCTAGTACTCAATCCATTAGCAAATGGTGGAGTCCAAATATACTAAGTAAACAGAAAGACAATATACCACAGCTTTATAGCTGTGATATAAAGTTTTGAAAAAACTGCACCCCAGAGTCACCTTATGTTGGCAATAATCAAGCAGGACATAGGAGAGAAGGGGGAAAATGGAAGGCTAAATGAGTATCGGAAATAATTGGGATGAAAAGAAATAGTTCAGGACTAGTGTGGGCTAGGAATGTGTATATATTCTCAGTTTAAGTTCCATAAAAACTTATTTAAGTACTCTGACAATCAAACAGCTTAAACTCAAAACTGCACTGTTTATTCTTCTTAGTATGTAATAAGTATTGTTTATATACAAGAAAATCCAAAGACCTGCATATAAATACTAAAAGGTCTTATCTTTTATGTTGGTGGAAATCTTTTCCAACTCCTACAACTATAAAATGTTTACCCTCTCAAATTAAATAATGATTCAAAATATACTTACTTGCACCAAGAGTGAGCAAGCCAATTTAAACCATTCAGTTGATAATCTCTTAATTCTAAACCCTCATGTCCTCCAATATAGGATGGCTGCTTTTTTAGGGCTACAAATCTTGGCCTTTGTTTTAATACCTTTAGTAGAATAAACGTTTATATTAGTAAATGTAAGAAATTATATCAAAGAATGAAAAATCTTAAATTTTGAAATAACATCTCAAATCAAGCTACGAAATTACATGAATCAAAATATACCTCAGAATTCAGTCAAAAGAAAGAAGACTGTTTTCTGTTACTATAACAATAATATAAAGTGATATATTTTGTCATCCTTTTGAATAAAAAAATTAGAGATAATTAAGTTCTTGCTGAAATATTTGGGTCTCGTTTATTTCATAAACAAAAGCTATGTCACCTACGCACTTTAATCATTGCTCTAGCTCTGACCTAGAAATAAACCACAAAACTGGCCTCCCCTCCCACTTGATTTCTGATTTCTAAATTATCATTATAAATTTAATTCAACTATGTAATAAGAAAACAAATTCTAGCCCTGGCCAGTCAGGCTCAGTTGATTGGGAGTCATTCTACAAACTGAAAGGTCACAGGTTCAATTCCCAGTTATAGCACATGCCTGGGTTGCGGGTTTGGTCCCCAGCTGGGGCACATGCTAGAGGGAGCTGATTGATGTTTCTCTCTCACATCGATGTTTCTCTCCCTTTCTTCCTCCCTCCCTTCTCCTCTCTCTAGAATCAATTAAAAAAAAAAAAAAAGGTGCTTAAAAAAAAAAAAGAAAAATTCTAGTGGTACTAGACCTCAAAGCTATTATTAGAAATAATTTGAGCCCTGGCTGGCGTAGCTCAGTGGATTGAGTGCGGGCCTGCGAACCAGACAATCACAGTTCGATTCCCCACCAGGGCACATGCCTGGGTTGCGGGCCAGTTTCCAGCAAGGGATGCACCAGAAGCAACCATACATTGATATTTCTCTCCTCCTCTCCTTTCCTTCCCTTCTAATGATTAAATAAATTAAAAAAAAAAAAAAAGAAAGGAAAAAAATAACTTGAAATACAAAAGCTCTTTCATTAGGATACCTTCTTATAGGGACATGCTTCTTTTCCTTTCCTACCTTCAAAGAATGTATTTGCTACCTTCTAAACCAATCACATCACCCACTTTCAAAGGTATTGTCTCTGGTTGGCCTCCCCAACTTACCACAACTAGCACCACCGGTTTATCATCTTTTTGAAACAAGTTTCCTTACCAAAGCTAAAATACAGTGCCACATCTAAGATCACACAGGAGTTACAAGAACGTCATTTCCTGTAAGATCTACCAACCAAGCAGTTCTCTTCCTTAGCCTATCTGAAATCAGGATCCAGCTATTCTGGGCTTGTAATATTTATGATGCATAAATACATATGTCAACAGTAATTGAAAATGTCAAACAATACTCACTTTGCAATCTTTAAAAGGAGTGGTTTTTGATTGATTCCTGCTAAAATACTCATCTATACATGCTTGAAACTTTTTGGAAATGAGAGCACCATCCTCCCAGCTGCACTCTGAGTATGGAAGGCCCTGCCATTTACAATAATAATCAGGATACCCAGCTGCTGACTTTTGATTGGAATGAGCTGTGAGATAAATCAGAGATATTTACATTAAATCTTACCCAACAAATATTTCTTGGTAAAAACTACAAGTAAAAATTAGCCATCTGCTTTATAATACTCTAATATATATACAAGCAACCTACTGTGTTTAAAGTATAAGCAGTAAATTTAAGTTTTTTTCAGAATCACTTATTAGAAGTGATTAGAATCACTTATTACTAACCAATTATTCGCTCCACTATTTGATACTGTTTATGCAGGTCATCTGTAAGTTCTTGCTGGCAATTATAATATTCCACATCTTCCGGAGAAGCATTTTTCAACCTGAAAGATTGTTAAATCCAGGAACAGACTTCAGAATTTCACCTAAATAACCCCCGTCCTTCCAAAAACTATCAGTAGCATGAAATCTCTCATTTTGTCACTTATCTCATGAACCAGGTTAAACAATAAAGAAACTGAAAGAGAAATAAAGTATGATTCATTTTTAATTTAAAAAAATTTAGTACTTCCAGCCAAGATGGAGGTGCAGGTAGCAGTTAGATATGCTCTGCTTCCTCACAAAAGCAAGAGGAGGACAACAAAAAATTTAAAAACAAACAAAAAAATAACCAGAACTGAGAGAAAATCAAACTGTATGGAAGTTAAAGAAGAAATGTTCATTCAGACTGGTGGGAAGGGCAGAGACAGACAGCCAGGGTGGAGAGGAACCATGGCAAGGCCGCCGATGGCAGACCCTCAGGCACTGGATGGTTTCACATCAGCATGCAGATAAACCGGAAGAAAAAACTGGGGAGTGTGACAGACCAAGCAACCCAGGGTTCCAGTCTGGAAAACTAAAGCCTGAAAACCTTACTGAAAAAACCTGTGGGGGTTGAGACAGTGGGAGAAACTCCCAGCACCACAGGAGAGTTCACTGGAGAAATGCATGGGATCCTAGAATGTACACAAACACACCCACTTGGGAATCAGCACCAGAAGGGCCCAATTTGCTTGTGGGTAGAGGAGGAAGTGACTGAAAGCTAGCCAAGAGCTGAGCAAGAGGCACTGTTCCCTCTCTGATCCCTCTCCTGCATAGAGCACCACCAGGAAGTGAAATAGGTTACCCCACCCTTGTGAATATCTAACGCTCCACCCCTTATAACATAACAGGTGCTCCAAGGCAAAGAAATATAGCCCAAATGAAAGAACAGATCAAAATTCCAGAAAAAGAACTCAGAAATGAGAAGACAATCTACCAGGTGCAGAGTTCAAATCATTGGTAATCAGGATGCTCACAGAAATGGTTGAGTACAGACACAAAATAGAAAAAGTGGCGAAGGCTATGCAAAGAGAAATAAAGAAAAATATAGAGGGAACCAATGGGGAAGGAAACTGCGACTTAAATCAATGACTTGGAGCTGAAGAAGTAAATATCCAATCTCAACAGAATGAAAGAAGAATTCAAAATAATGAGGAGAGGCCGAGGAACCTCTGGGACAAGTTTCAACGTTCCAATATCTGACTCATAGGGGTGCCAGGAGAAGAGGAAGAGAAAGAAATTGAAAATTTATTTGAACAAATAATGAAGGAAAACTTCTCCAATCTGGTGAAGGAAACAGAATTCCTTCTCAGAGAGTCCCAAAGAAATTGGACCGAAGGAGGAACACACCAAGAAACATCATAATTACATTATCCAAGATTAAAGATAAGAAGAGAATCTGAAAAGCAACAAGAGATAAGGAGACTGTTACCTACAAAGCAGTACACATAAGACTATCAGCTGATTTCTCCAAAGACACCCTGCAGGCAAGAATGTGCTAGAAAGAAGTACTCAAAGTCATGAAAGGCCAAGGATCTACGTCCAAGATTACTCTATCCAGCAAAGCTTTCATTTAGAATAGAAGGGCAGATACAGTGCTTCCCAGATAAGGTCAAGTTAAAGGAGTTCATTATCACCAAGCCCTTATTATATCCAATGCTAAAGGGACTTATCTCAGAAATAGAAGAAGATAAAAAAAGGTTAAATGACAACAAACTCCCAACTATCAACAACTGAACCTAAAAAACAAAAACAAAAACTAAGCAAACAACTAGAACAGGAACAGAATCACAGAAATGGGAGATCACACAGAAGGTTCTCAATGGGGAAGGGGATGAACAGGTGAAAAGGTACAGGGAATAAGAAGTATTCCCTGGTGGGTACAAAATAAAGGGGGAGGTGAAGAGGAGTACAGGAAAGAGAGAAGACAACTCATATGCACAACCCATGAGTTGGATGAGACTCATATGTCTCACGCACATGAACTAAGTGGGGCAGGAATGCTGGTGGGAGGTAGGGTACAAGCAGGAGGGGGATAAAGAGAAAAAAATGGGACAACTGTAATAGTGTAACCAATAAAACATACTTTAAAAAATTTACAATATATGAGACAGTCTATGTGACTGTTATCAAGGATTTAGGTAGGGGTATTCCTAGAACTTTTAGCTTGAAATGTAATACAAATAAATCCATAAATAAGTTATTTTAGGTTACCATTTGATTCTTGACAATGTATTCCTTATTAATAAAAACCTTGGTAATGATGTTTGAGCTATAAAAATATTAAGTATAATATAAAACATATTTACCATCTTTTTGTTTCCTGATCTTTTTTCTTATAATTATCCAATTTTTTCATTCCTCTAACATTCTGCTGCTTCAGGGTTTCTTCTGTCTCCCAAGTATTGTGAATATGGGACCATCCTTTCCATTTAATTAAATACTGGATTTCTCCTGGTTCTTTGTTTTTTTCAAATCCTGCATTTGGGTCACCATCTGCTTCAACTGCATAGATTGTTGTAGTAGCACCAGTAGCTGAAAAAGAAAGCATGATACACTCCCTGTAATTGTTATAGGAATACTACCATTCAACTAACAAATTGAAGAATGTGAATAGAAAAATATATGCTCTCTTAAATAAGAAAAGTATCAGGGCACAGAAATTTATGTGAAGTTATAATACACATATATAATAAAAATTCAAAATTTTAGAACAGAAAAAATATCTAGTTTAATCCTGTTAAAATTAGAATCATGTTCAAAATACAGTAGCATACTTAAGAGCATATAGCAATTTATAATAACTGATGACTGAGAGACTGATAATTAGAAACTAATATAATTTAAAATCATTTTTAAAATCTGCATGTCTCAAATTACTATGTCAAAAAAATACCTGTACCCCCATGTTCACTGCAGCCTTATTCTCAATAGCCAAGACACGGAAACAACTTAAGTGTCCATTAACAGATGAACAGATAAAGAAGTCTGATACATACACACACGCACACACACATACACAAATATTATTCAGCCATTAAAAAAAAGAAAGAAACCCTGCCACTGTTACAATTGGATGGAATTTGAGGGCCTTATGCTGAGTGAAATAGGTCAGACAAAAGAGACAAATACTGTATGATCTCATATATGAAATCTTAAACTCATGGAAAAAGAAATTAGATTTATAATTGTCAGAGGCAGGAGGAATATGATGAATGTGGTGAAAAGGTTCAAAATCAATAAATAAGTACTAGGAATATAATGTACAACATGATGACTACAGTTAACAATGCTGAATGGTATATTTGAAAGTTACTAAAGAGTAGATTCTAAAAGCCCTCATGACAAGAGAATTTTTTCTTTTTTTAATTATATCTATAAGATAATTGATACTACCTAAACTTCTTGTGGCAATCATTTTGCAATACATGTATGTCCCTTTAAACTTATACAATGTTATACGTCAACTATATCTCAATAATACAGAAAGAAAAAATGCATGCCAAGGCAACTAAAAATAACCAACATATTTGTAATAAAACAAAAACACATTTTTTAAAACACCAAAACATTTGTGAAATTGAAAGAATGAACCTAGATAATTATTTAGGCATGGTAACAGAAAAACTAAGCACACAGATTAAAAACTTTCTAATTATCTGTAATATATGAACCAAGGTCAAATGGATATTTGTTAAAAAAAACTACTCAAGCTAGTGAAGTATATTCTGCAGCAAATAAGTAAAACAGAAGAAAATCTATCCTCTTGGCTTTCAAAATTGAAAAATCTTCAAGAAGTACTTTATTTAATCTATTATTATTAGTGTTGTTATTAAAGATTTTGATTATTTTTTAGAGAAAGGGGAAGGGAGGGAGAAAGAAGGGAAGAGAAGCATCAGTCAGTTGCCTCTCGCACACCACCAACCAGGAACCTGGCCCACAACCCAGGCATGCGCCTTGACTGGGAATTGAACCAGTGACCTTTAGGTTCACAGGTTAGTGGTCAACCCACTGTGCAACACCAGCCACAGCTAATCTAGTGTATTATTATTGAAATCACCAAATAATAAATGGTTTTTTAAAGGCAAAAGATTTATATGATCTGAAGAGAAACCAGAGTATACAATAAATTTTTAAAAATACCTCCTTTTCTCCCAATCCGACAATCCATAAACCGTTCAATTGTTTCAAATTCCTCTTCCTCAGGTTGAGGAACATCCTCTCCACAGACTTCAAGTAGGTCATCAGAATCTGTTTTCATTTCTTCATCTTCCTTATAGCTCACATTGACAGTTGCTTGACGACGAGAACTTCTTTTATCATTATCATAGTCTTCATCATAATCCTCCTCAGATGAATCAATCTGTCTCTTTTTTTGTCCAAGAATCTTTTTTCCATTTTTTGACTTAGATCTAGAGTAGACAAGGAGAGAGGTGTTTTTTTTACATAAACATTGGTATAAAACCATAAATGAGAAAATATATACAAAAAGAATGAATACCTCCTATAGCCAACAGTTTTCAACATAAACCTAGAACAAACTATACTTACCTATTTTGAGGTTTTCTGCTTTTAACTTTGTTTTTTGGCTCATAATCAGATTCTGTTTCATCACAACTGCTTTTATCTCTTTCTTCTTCAGATTCAGAATCTGAACCACTCTGAGATGGAGATCCTGACCCAGACATTTGCCAATCTTCACTGTACATAAAATATATAATTTATGATTATTTATACTTATATTATATAGTAAACTTTATCTTTAATAAAATACAAGAAAATAAAAAATTGCCTTCTACTTAACAATAAAAATATTGTTGCTTTCATGCATGCTAAAAACATTTAGATGTCTGTGAAAAAAAAAAAAAAAGAAAAATGCTAGAAAATATTTGACACAGATTTCTCCCTATAACTCCAGAGTTTTGTTAATCATTTAGTTTATACCGAAATAAATGGCAAATATGTAAATGTTATTTTGACTATCATTATGGAGAAAATATAGTATAATCATTTAAAGAACATACTATAATAATTATACCTGCCCTCACAAAACATAAAAAAGATTCAAATCTCTTTCGATTTTCTGGAGATAGTTAATTTAAAAAATATATACTTCAAAACTGATTTTTAAAAATAGTACGTGTTCATGAAGAAATTAAAATAGGGATTTAAAAAATCTCTAAAAAATCAATCCATCTAAACATTCAATTACCTTTATTACTATTTTTAGTCTATTTAATTCCAATCAACATGTACAGACAAAATATTGGATGCACATAACATTCTGCCATAATATAGACTACGAATGAAAGATACATACTAAATTCTTATACATATACACTATATTTTGTCTCAGGGTCACTGATTCTACTCCACTGCTCTGCATCTCTTGCATCAATGATTATGTTAATAATTACATAAACAAATATACATGGTAAAACCTGGCTTATATCAAAAACACAACAGAGAAACAAGTTGTTTTTTATCTTGAAATCTTTTTAGAGTTTACACATGAAGATTAACAAGAGACAGAATATATGAAAAATTCTCCATTTCATATTTTTATATATCAATTATGATTTTTCTATCCAATAAAGTCTATCATCCCCAATTACTTGCTTCTTAAAATATTCTTTGCCTGCACCCATGCTGAGTTTAGAAATTACTAACTCAGGGGAACAGATGCATTAACTGGTGAGACACAGTAGTTGAAAATGCACTTAGTAAACTAGAAGACAGATCTGAGAAAATTAGATTATAGCATAGCAATAAAGGGATAGAAAAGATGATACAGTAGGATTCCTGAAGGATGGAACAGATGATCCAATAGATATGTACAGCATATATGATCCAAGACAAACATAATATTTATATCTATTAACAGTACCAGACTTACAGAAAATGTTGATATATTAATGACTAAGTTTTAAGAAACTAAATAAAAGATACAAGTCTTCTTCATATTAAAGATGCATAAGATCAAGTGCATAAAGTAGAATAACAAATTCAAAGCCAGAGCGCCAAAGTGAAAGCATGAAATATCAAAGAAAACTGAAAAATAAGAGACAATAGAAAAACGTTTTGGAAAAAATGAGAGAGAAAAAAACTCAGACAATCTAGGTATCTCAACTGAGAATCTAAGGTACTCTTAACATTTTCTAGGTCAAGTTCTTTAGGATATTATTGTTGAGTTCCTAAATGAGTTCTAAAGAGTAAATAAATTTCATGTGCAGATAAATAGTAAGGATAACCATTACCATAAATTAACAAAATCACCCAAAATCCATCATTAGCTTACACCTTTATACCCAAGTTAAGATTTTTCTGACATTATGAATAAGCATATCTTTGAAATTTAAAAATACATAAGAAAGAGAGGTTATCGTAGATAAACAACTGACACAAAAACCTTAGGTCATCACAGAAAGATATGAATTAATGGTTTAAATTAATCTGATACAATGTCATGAACCAAAAAATTATATAAATACACTTTGGGCAACAATTTCTAATAGAGAAAGAAATACAGAATCATTAGGATTTTCCTAATATGACAGTAATTAATCAGTTGAACAAAATGACATACTCTTTATGCTTTTTCCTTTTGACCTCACTTGTGTCATCAGAATCTTCACTGCTAGAAGAATCCTGTAGAAAAAATTAAGTTCATGTTACTAATGATGCAATTTAACCATTAAACACATTTTTGCTGGTCATACTATTTAAAGTTCACCTTGCTAATAACAGTAACTGTAAAACCTCTTTTTCTCTATGTTGTTATTTATACTGTTAGCACATAGAATGATTAGTAACATTTTAATTTGAATTTATAACATAGCCAGTGAAATTAGGTATGTATCACAATGTCAGCATTTTGTACAAAACTTTAAAACCTATTATCTGTTACATACAAAGGAGCTCCCATAAAACTATAGGCTGATTTCTCAACAGAATCTTTAAATCTAAAAGAGAGAAAACTGAAGTAGTTTATCACCACTAAACCTGTATTACAAGAAATGTTAAAGGAACTTCTTTAAGAAAAAAAAAAAAAAGATAAAAAATTTAAATAAAATGGAAATCACTATATATCTACCAGTAACTGCTTTAAATGGAACTGGACTGAATACTCCAATCAAAAGACATAGGACAGCTATATGGACACAAAAATAAGACACTTACATATGCTGCCTACAAGAGACCCACTTCAGGTCGAAAGACGCTCACACAGACTGAATGTAAACAGATGGAAAATGATATTCCATGCAAATAGAAAAAAAAAGCTGGGGTAGTAGTACTTATATCAAACAAAATAAACTTTAAAAATAAAGGCTATAAAAAGAGATAAAAAAAGACCCTTCATTTATAATAGCCAAGGTATGGAAACAACCTAAGTATCCATCAATAAACAGCAGGATAAAGAAGATGAGGGACATATGAAAAACAGAATATTAAACATAAAAAAGAATGAAATTTTACCATTTGCAACAACATGGATGGACCTAGAGGGTATTGTGCTAAATAAATCAGACAGAGAAAGACAAATACCATATAATTCCACTTATGTGGAACCTAAAAAAATACCAAAATAAATGAATAATAAAAAACAGAAATAAACTCATAGATACAAAGAACAAATTGACAGCTGTCAGATGGGAGCAAGGTTAGAGGGCTGGGAGAAAAAGGTGAAGGAATTAAGAAGTACCAACTAGCAATTACAAAACAGTCATGAGTTTGAAAAATACAGCAAAGGGAACACAGTCAATAATATTATAATAACTATGTATGGTACCAGGTGGGCACTAAACTTATCAGGCGGGACCACTTTGTAAGTTATATAAATGTCCAACCATTATGCTGTACACCTGATACTACTTATAATATTGAAAATCAACTGTAACTGGAAAAAAATCTATTATAAACTCTGAAGACCATTACTACTGCCTTGTATGGCCTCAAAAAGAAATCATACACTCAAAATTTTACTATTTTTCTCTCCCATTAGGCAGGTTTTAAAACAGTTCTTAAAACATACATGCACATATGCTCACATCTATCTGCACAGGAACTGTACTGTTTACAGCTGCTGCCTATTCTTTTAAAAACATGTTGAGAATTCTGTTAATGTTCTGTACAAATAAGACTTAAAGAGTATATTATTTCTTCATTCATATATTAGGTTATTTCCAGTTTTGCTTTGATGAGCAAATGCACATAAATTTCCAATGCCTTAGATTAATCCCTAAAAGTACAAATATTAGATGAAATATATTTGTGTTTCAAGATTCAGATATACATAATCAAATTTATCTCCTATACTTTCAAAACACGTGTTTCTAATAATTTCATAAGTATCTACTTATTACAATGACGGGGCATCATACCTACTTTTAAAATAGTAGCTTTCATAATGAAAACTCACCTCTTCTGATCCACTATTAGATGAAGCTTGATGCTGCTGTTGCTGTTGCTGCTGCTGCTGTTGCTGCTGCTTCTTGAGCATTGCCGATCTCTGAACAGCCAAAATACTAGGGCTAGATTTCCAAAACTAAAATAGAAATATGAATGAGTAAAGGTTCAAGTTTTATAAAAACTGAAGAGGTTTTTTATTGAAAAGCAGCATAGTTTTTACTGCCTCCAATTAATAAATTAAGACCATCTCCCTTATTTACATTACATGTAATAGTGTAATATAATTTAAATGTTGAGCTTTATATATTAAAAATTTATGCAAGCTTCATAGACAATATTAACCTAAGTTATAACTTTCAAAAACAAAGTGATAACTAATGAGACACCAGTGTTACTCAAAGTGGTTTCCTATTCTTTTTAACTGGTGTGAAGTGACCATGAAGAACTTAATCAGAATGCAAATCAACTATATTACTAAGCACCCTTTTTTTTGGTAGCAATATTTTCTCAATGAAGAAAGTTATGCATTGCTTTATGTTCTGATGCAAGCTTCCTATGACTGGTACTCTGATCCAAGCATATTAAGATTAGTACTTTAAGTAACACTACTTTATGCTATTATGAGGTGTAGAAAAGTTTTATTAAATCTTGTAGTAGCTTTGACAAACCAAATGTCCCTTAGCCTATTCTACGTCCCTTAGCCTATTCTACCAAGTGTCTTCAAGGAAGCAGAGTCTCCTGCTACTAGCAATAAAATGTCTCCTTGAAGATCTTGAAAGTAGAGATCAGACACTGTAGGATTAACAAAAATATCTCACAAAGTCTTGACAGCGAATATTTATGAAACTCAATTTCCACCTCAGAAAGAGGTTGAAAAGATTTTGTGTATGTTGATTTTGTATTTGCTATTTCATAGTTACAGATTCTTTTTTGAGCCAATTATTCTACAGATATTTAACCACAATTTAGAATCACTGAGTAAATTTTAATATTTAAAATTAATGTTTTCTAAAAGCTCTATTAAGAGCGCTGTAAGTCAATGTTATAAATCTACCTTTCACTGGATACTTTATTTATTACCTCAGCTCCATCAACTTTTGGTGGTTTTGCTTGAACTTTGTTTTCTCGGGATGTATCTGACTCAGACTCTGACTGACTGCCCGATTCAGATCCAGAGTCAGAGTCGCTGCTACCTGACTGGCTACTGCTCCCATCACTAGTGCTTCCAGAACTTGAACCAGATCCAGAGCCTGAAGCTGACCCAGAATCATCATCCGACTGGCTGCAATTTAAAAGAAAACATATTTCAAACAAAATTCATTAGGAATTTAATCTTTCTTAAACAGTCAGCTGACAGCCCCAAATCATTAAACTACCTCATATTTCAAGTTTCTATAGCCAAGCAAACAGAAAAAGGAATGGTACTCTATAGTAGTAACTGACAGGGTTAATAGATTTTGTAGTTTGGACCAAAATATAAGCAATCAGATCATAATTGTCTTACAAGATAATGAGCATGTTCTATTAAGTACAGAATCCTGGGCTAAAAATTTGGAAAGTTTAAGCCAAACGATAGCCATAAAAGGCTAGTTAGCTATAGTAAATACAGACGTGTGAAAAAAAATGTTAAAAAATGTACTGAAGCCCTGGCTGGTATAGCTCAGTGGATTGAGTGCGGGCCTGCGAACCACACGATCATGGTTCGACTCCCAGTCAGGGCACATGCCTGGGTTGCAGGCCAGTTCCCAGTAGGGTACCCACGAGAGGCAACCATACATTGATATTTCTCTCACTCTCTCCCTCCCTTCCTCTCTAAAGATAAATAAATAAAATCTTATAAAAAATGTATTGAAAATTCTCATAGTAACAGGTAGAAAAGAAACTTGTAATTTCTATGTGTTTTCAAGTTTGTATCTATAGTTTATCATTCCAGGGAAGTGTGATTTATTATAATTAGGGTACAATATACTAAAATAAATACAATATACTAAAATACAATATACTAAAAAATAAAATCAGTAATTGCTTCTCTGAGAAAACCACTGACACTGTCACGATTCCACAGTAATACATCTGAAATAATAGCAAATTCTCACAATCTTGCTTAACTGCTATACACACATGTGAAAGCAATTAACAGTTAATTGAAAAACTATCATTTTTCCAATTACTAATTTTCAGTCAGAGGAAGCATGGATATGGTCTGAACTAAACAGTTGATTGTGTAAATTATTATCCCCAAGGCTACTTGCTCACATGGTGTTGACTCCGAATTGTTGAAAACCAGGGACTAAAATTTCTGATACACATGGTAGGCAGCTTTTTATGTGATTTCATCTGGCTTTATGAGAAACAACAGGTAATGCAGTTTAGCTACAGAAATACTCATTCTGCATGTCTTCTGCTGTAGTTTTCAGAAAAACCACCAGATGGAGGTATTACTCTATGAAAACCGACTTCAATGTTGAAAGCAATTCCTTTCTAAAAGTCATTTCTCCTGTTTAAAAGCAAGGAATTAATAGTTTCTACATGGAAAAACAGACATAAAAGTTTGCAAGACTTTTGATTGCAAAAGTGAGATATAAATTAGAATGCAAACAAATATGCTTAAATGAAAACAAATACATAGATATTTAAAAAATCTATAGTGGAACATTTTTCTTCATAGAAACAGTAAAAACTTGCTTCTCAAGGACTATGATATAAAAATTATTTTTACAATTTCTATCCACTGGTCATAATGGTTGACACCCAAAAACAGCATAGTGCCCTTTAATTAAATAAACAACAAAAAATTTTCCATATTTTACTTGGATCCCTTGAGAGAAATTTCAGCAAGAGTACTAGAGAAGGTATTTTTCCTTACATACAATTTCATTTCTCCTTTAACCTGACAGATAAAGAGACATCTACTTATTCAATAAACTTAACTAAGAACTACCATGTTAGGCACTGGGAAGATGAGATAAGACAGTCCTTACAGTTAAAAGAACTTCTAGCCTGGTATGGAGAGATGGTCATGTCAACCAATAAATACCATTATGTACTATATTGAAGATAATGGATCCACATGTATGGGGAGCACTGAAGATACAACCAAGTTTGGTACAGTAATAGTGAAACATTTAGAAGAAGGCAGAGTTGAACTAATTCTTTAAGAAAGAATAATTAGGCAGAGATGTATCACTTTAATTGCTTTTAAGCTCCTTGTAGGTCCTGTTTATTTTTTCCCGAGTCTCTACCACAGTAACTTCTATAGGTGGCTACTCAACAAATACTTGAAAAGTAGACAAATGAATTAAGTGAACATGGGGAGGCAATCATGCATTTATCTTCTTAATTATACCTTGATTCAATATGGACAACTAGTCAAAATTCCTTGTTAGTAAGCATAGTTCTGGCTGGAGATAAAGGCAAACAACCTGAACTGAGGCTACTGTAATGGTATAGATTTATTATTAAAATGTCTTTACCTTAGATATTAGAAGTATGAAGTATTTATTTATTTCATTTAGTTCTTAGTAGGAATGAGAACAAGGAATATCAAATATGTAGTCGTAGAATGATCTCCAGGATACAGTTAGAAACACCCCCACATACACAAAACAGTGTTTACAGTCAGCTTCCTTTGTATAAGGTAAAAACATCTGTACGTATTTGCTTATACTTAAAACAACAACAACAACACAAGAATGGTAGTATAAACCAACAATTAAGTTAAAAATGACTACATACAGAAGGAGGGAGAGAATGAAGCAGAAAGAACATGGATTGAAATAAGTCATGAGCTTTTGAATCATGTCTTTCTTTGTTTTACATTAATTCATTTTTTTAAATTCCTAAAAATTGAAAGAAAAATATATACAGGTTGGGGGGGGGAGCAAAGATCTATACTCAAACAAAATTTTGCACTAAAATAGGTGAAAAGTCTTTTCCTAATAAAGTAATTATATTTCAGCCCATCATGCAAATGCTCTTTCTAGAATAAAAGTCTGATCATGGTATAACTTCTTTTATAAATCTGAAGTGTTTCTGTAACAAAGTTCAAACATCTATGAAGGTATTCAGGATTCCTGAATTCTCGGACAGTTTCCTACTTAAAGCCTTAGTTCTAGCAGTGGCAAACTACTTGTAATTCTCAGAGAGCAAGTTTCTCTTTCCACTTCCTGCTTTTGCGAAATTATTTCTTTCACTCTACCCCACTATATAATTCCTACCTGAGCCTCACTTCACGGGTACTTCTCCAATAAATATCCTCTGACTCCATTCTCAACCCAACATTAAATCAGGTATCCTTTAGCACTCCTGAATCGTCCTATCCATACTGCTATCTACACATACTACATAGTGAGAACACCATGTAATAATCACTGTAATTTTGTTTTCTTTTGTTTTATTGGTATTCTACACCTTTGATATTCTACCATGTTTCTAAAGCATTGGAATTTCACTTGTTGCCCTCTGTTATGTATACTGAGCACTAAAGAACTCCATAGATGTTTAATGGGTATGTGGATATATATAAAAACAAATAAAAGATACAGGAGTTCTGTCCAGAAGGTATACAGCCACATAATATGAAAAGTAGAAACATATACTGAAGATACAACATACAAGAAACATTGTACATAGGACAATGACACCTCAGTCCCCTTCAAAGTAGGCATCTTGGGACCTCTCCCAGTTCTCCCAATCGCCATCACCTGCCCTATTGTACTTTCCGGAATTTAACTGACGGTCTGAAATCTTTTCCCTTTCAAAGGTGATTTTAGTTTTGGGAAAAGCCAGAAGTCATGGGGCTGGCGTGGAGCTGAGTCACGTGGGTGATTTGGTGCCCCGCAAGTTCTGGCTTTTCCCAAAACTAAAATCATCTTTGAATGGGAAAAGGTTTCAGACTGTTGATGAAACTCAAGGAAATATAACAAGGCAGCTGACAGTGATTACAACATTGGATTTTACAGTGTTTTGAACAGTGGAAAAGATACTGGGAGAACTGTGTGAGATCCCAAGGTGCCTACTTGAAAGGGATTGGAGCCATCATTGTCCTATGTACAGTTTCTTGTATCATGTATCTTCAATAAATGTTTCTATTTTTCATATTACATGGCTGGATACTCTGTGAGTGTGTGCATGCATGTGTGTACAGAAAAAGAGGTGCCTAACTGCTGGGTGCCTAACTCAGCATGCCATCTTTTTTTTTTTTTAATAACATAAATTCCAATATTATGGTCACTCAGTATAAAAGTCTAAAGCACAAACTCCCTGCAACTAAGTGTGGCTATTAGCTTAAGTTCTGACAAGTAAGATATGAGCAGAATAAGTTGTACTTCCCAGAGACTGTTCAATGGGGGCTAAGCTAGAAGGTACTCCCCCTTTTTTGCTCTTCTGATTTGCCTTCAAAGTTTGCAACTGACAGAAAAAAAAAAAAAGCTGAAAAAAGTGTTCAAAATTTAGGTCTGCACAGGTTCTTAGAGAGGCCAATACTTTTCCCCCAATATTCCCATGGTTATTATAAGCCATTGTTCTTAATGATTTAAGTGACCAGAAAAAAATTAACTTTCTGTTCAGCAAGACATGTAATCCATTTTTAAACTGTGTTTTTTTAAGTTAAATTTTTAGGTACTTTATAATGCAGCTATTGTTGTAAATTCCATATAACTAAAATGTTACAATTCTTTATCTATGGATTAGATTATAGAAATGCTTCTCAAACTCTAACCAACATCAAAATCACCATCCTTCTCCACTTTTTAAATTGAATATGCCTGGGCTCCATTCTCTGTACCTGTGAAGCCAGCAGCCCTATGTCTGATCTTGAGGGTTTTAATGGCTTACTTTTGTTCTTAGGATAAAAATGACTAAAATGTGATCTCTGCCTACCTCTCTAATTTCATCTTAAAGCAACTCTTATATCTTTATTCTACACTCTAGCATGACTTCCTCTAGCTCTTGAATTTGCCATGTGTTCTAACTTCATAGCCTTGGTATGAAACCAGTTCTCCCTATCTGGAAAGCTTGTTAATCACCACGCCACCTCTTCCCCTCATACTCCTATTCTATTCATCCTCTACTTCTTGAATTGAGCTTTTCCTAGACTTCCACTCCCAGACTATGTAAGACACCTAGCAGGATGTCTGGCACTTAGTATGTACTTGACATAAGCTAGTATGAATGCAAGAGTGTTTTATCTAGCACTTTACTGGACAGACTCAGAAAATACAAGTATACATTATTTGTGAATTAATAAATGATTAGTACTACCTACTCTCTGTTTTTTTGTTT